AGATAGAGATACAGATAGAGATAGAGATAGAGATAGATAGATAGATAGAGATAGATAGATAGATAGAGATAGATAGATAGATAGATAGAAATAGAGAGATAGAAATAGAGAGATAGAAATAGAGAGATAGATAGATAGATAGATAGATAGAGAGAGAGAGATAGAGAGATAGAGATAGAGATAGAGATAGAGATACAGATAGAGATAGAGATAGATTGATTGATTGATTGATTGATTGATAGATAGATAGATAGATATTATATATGATGTTTGATTATATAATAAATGAATACAAATACAAATATGAATATGTGGGTGTGTGCGTTGATATTATAATATCATATCTAGATTGACAATACCATTGCCCTATATTGCCCTTATACTCAAGATACTAGATACCACCACTAGGGGACCCCGAAATAAACACATCCAATACTAAACAACCCATTTCATATTGATGGGACGGGATTCCAAATCATTCATACGAATCATGCATTTTACATTTACATGCTTTGACAAACCATTTAATATCAGTAAACGACTATACGGCAACTACATCTAAATATATGGATCTTTAAATACACGAACAGGTATTTTGGACTACCTGCGGGAGGGTTTTCCTTGGCCGGCCCAGCCATTTAAACATACAGAATCCAACTCATTTTCCCATACGGTAACTACAATTTCAATATACGAGCTGATACGAGCTGGTATTTTATACTACCTCCTGGGCCTCGCTGTCTGGCCCGTCCTCCACATATTTAAATGTCGTTACCGTACATTTAAAATCATTTAAATATACGGATGGAACTGGTGTTTCATACTACCTCTGGGGCCTTGTGGTCTGGCCCGCCCGCCACATTATTTAAATGTCGTTACCGTATAATAAGCTGTCCTGAAAATAGCTGAAATAAGGCCACTGATCTATGATTCCCCTTGCTCATCATTCCAGTGAGGTCACAGTGAGGTCATAATTCATCATAATTCATCCTGAGTTATATAATCCAAATGGGAGCAGCTCAGACAGCGGCCCTTGGAGACAGAAGCGGGATACGCAGCCTGGCACCAATATGGACATCCTGTTCTGAAAATTGCCGAGAAAACACCAAAATCCACTGGTGGATCATGGTGAATCATCATTTTCCCCCATGAAAATGAATTCAAAATATGTCAGATAGCATTTGACTCGAGGACTCCTCATTTGTAGACACAGCCGCATGAAAAATATTGCATGGCACAAAATGACATTAGTCAATTCAGCTTGGCCAAGGCCTTGCACAATTCACAAGGCAGCGGCCTCCAAGTCAAATCAAGCCCCACCAGAAAGCTGAACGCACCAAGCCACGCAGACTGTGATGATCTGTGATGGTTTCAGCACTGAGCCAAGAACCTGTAGAAGTAGGATCCCTCTGGAGTGTCTGCAATATTCAGACGCCCCTTGACCTGGACGAATTGCGTGTCTGACCATGGTGTATGCTGTCCAAGCGGCCAGTTTCATTGAGATGATGAAATAATGACGGTTTCTCTGTTGACACAGCCATACCTGGCTCAGCACGGGCTCAATGCTTGGTGGCCGACCCAGTGACGCAAACACCCCAGGTGGACATATTCAATGGATCCCTTGCACTGGCATGGCCTCAGAAATCCAAACTGTCGAACTCAACGCAGCGGGTCCCGGTCAGTCAATGTCAGTCCCGTGGGCACCAGGCCTGATCAATGGATCATCGTCACAAGACCCCTCTAAGAGGCAAATGCGGCATGACCTGCCGAAGGGATCCGAAGGGTCCAAACGAAATCAAACGACTCAACCAGAGAAAGCTCTCGCATGACCAGCTTGAAGTCTTCATTGAGCCAGCGGCATTTTGGCCAGTTTATTCTCGTGATCAGTCCTTAATCAGACATCAAGCCAAGGACTGATTTAGAATCTCGAAGGACATGATTCATTCAAATTCAAAATATTCAAAATCCCGCCATTGCATGCCATTGCCATTCTTTCATAGTTTTGTAACAATCCTCTGCACCACCTCTAGGTGATTCTAGGTGGACATCATTTTGCCGGTGCAAATGATGCAGCACTGTGCTTCAAGCTCTATGTCGCAGGTAGAGCCCGCGGTGTCGTCCAGATGCAGTTCCGGCTGGACCGTGGACTAAGCGGAGAGGTGAGGCTGGACAGGTACCGCCAGACAGTGGAAATCACAGCCTGGATATGGGAAATTTATGATATTTATGATATTTATGATATTTATGGCCATTTAGAAACGATGTCAGAACATTTCAAAAAGGAAGTCGCGAACTGGGTGTGAACGGGATTGAACGGCTTGTGAATCCACTCACAAAATTCGCAGCACAACCACCCTGCACTCATGTCCACCAGTCGTGAGCAATCTCTTTGGAGCTGGAGCTGGGGTTTCGCACTGTTTCAGATGCAACCATCTGTCGAACCTTGAATTTAAAGCGGCCAAGCCTTGGTACTCCATTTGACAACTGCCTTTCTTCCAGCAACTTGAAGTATCCACAAATAGCTGCTACTGCTAATTAATGAATTAATGAATGCCACAATATTGTGGTATATAGTCCATGTATGTCCATGTCTCAACAGGACCCTGCACTCTGTTTCTCCTCCCTTCTTTTGGCAAAGATGTTCATAGAGTATCGTAGAGTAGTGTCATTTCTCGCAACGCATTTTCCGAACAGAACTGAGGCTACGGCTTGATCACATCTCCTTCAGACAACCTCAAGCAGCAAAAGACCACGCCAAATGGAATGCAAAGTGAACTTCCGAGCCCTCAAAAACAGGTGAACAGGTATAAATGACAGCAGGCCCTGTCCAAGCTCCTGGCTTGTGCCCGGAACTGGCGAGATCACGAACCACCACCCACAGCTTCTTGGAGCTACTGGCTGGAGTTGCCTGCGGCCATCACAACTACGCTGATCTACGCTGGTAGCTGGGGACCCACCAGCTGTGTTCGCTGTGCTCAGTAGCAGCACCTTGTCCACCCAGTAGCAACCCTCTCGCTGCACCAAGCGAAGCATAGGTTCACCGCCTGCGGGAGTCCAGGTCCAGGATTTCTACCGGGCAAAGTGCATTTTGAGAGACACATGACATCTATCAGTTAAGATTCAATTAGCGCCTGCTGGTGTATTTTCATGGTCTGTGAGCATCTGGACCTGCATTGTGGCATTCTGTCATCCAAATCTGCGAGCACCAATGGTATAACAATTGTCTTTCAGGTGTCAGCCTGAGTCGAAGCAAAACTGCCATGCTAGGGGCAGGGCATCAACACCAGAGCGGATAAACTTGGCCGAAGAAGGGACGTTGAAATACTTCCTGCAGTGCAAAGGCCGGGGGTGCACCCGCACCCAGGAGGAAGGACTTCGCCATGTGGAAAGGTCACTGCAAATCAAATTCTTGGGCTGTGAGATGAGCAAGAAAAATATCTGATCCCACTCCCACTGAAGGCACTGCAGGCTAGGCACGTCTGCAGCTGGCTCGCTTCAAAGTCAAAGAGGTCATGGGAGTCACGGGCCCATGTGCTGGCAACTACCTCCCATCGCAGCATGGAGTGATATGGAGTGTGTTTGATGTCCGTGACTGTTTTTAAGGGTTTGTCCCAACATGCCAACAGAGTGGGTCAAAAAGGTCACCCACAAACCACTACAGTAAAAAATAGTAAAAGCATCGACGCTCCTGGAAAACCGCGGTTGTCTGACCTTCACGCCCGTGGTTCCCGCCGCAAATGGGCTGGACGTGCTCCCAGTAGACCTCCATCCACATCCACCAAAAATCAAAGGATGGAGCGGAAGAACAGCCCTGTATTGCCAAGTTGGCTATTGAGAAATCAACTGTCAACATGACATGTGGCTCTGAAAACAACATTTCAGCTGTACAAGCTCTGACAAAACAACGACGAGGTTGATGCTCTGCAGATGCAGTGCGATCCATCAAAAGCCTGTGAGTGCAAAAGCGTGCCAAGACGTCAAAGAAACACAACTCGTTTGCTACAGTTTGCTATTCTTGTTTGCAAGACTGCAACACATGTCTTCCGTGTACACCTTCGAACGCACTTCGGGATTCGGGACAGAGTCTACTGGCGTAGTCCAAGGAGTTCGGATGTTTCCGAAGTGTCTGTTTCATGGCAGGAAAACAGCAGTCACACATTCTTTACAAATGCTCCAAATCGCAAACACGAGGTGACAGTTCATGGATGTTCATGGCCTACCTTTCTCAAATTTTCTCAAAATGCTTGCTAAAGTTGACGTGCCAGTGGCTTGGAATCCAAGAAATAAATGATAATAAATGCCACCGCCATACGCATGGTTGCGGCAAAAAATCATCATGAGAGAATATGAAAGACTAAACTATACGAAACTGGCTAAACCCGTTGGATCCATTTGCATTTTTGCTCCATCAAACTCCTCATTTCCCTTCACCATGATCACCATGCAGAAATTCTCAGTTCCCCGCTCGCGTTGGCCACGGGCAGTCGCCGAATGCCAATGGAAAAAGAATGGTTTCCAGAGATTCTTTGCCTTGAGCCGCAGGATGTCGCAGGAGCTTGATGGAGCTTGTGGACTCCTGGTCATCGTTCCCGGGCATTCCCGGGCGATTGTCAACGACTTGTGGTGGATGGACAATCGGATCCCTATGGAGTTTTTGGAGAGATTGCCGGCATATGCCGGCATTTGCCAATGTCATCCCTTTGTATTTGGATAATACCGTCGAGACGACTAGATGGCCAAATGATAAAAGAGCATGGCTGGAAATCACAAGACGTTTGAACCATCCTCTTGTCAATTCTTGCATCCCACCCCAACCTTGTCACCTTTTGGCTCCCTGCAACCGGCGCCGTTGAGCTGCTGGAAAAGCAGCATTCCATCTGTGAGGCTCTTCAACCACCCCTGTTCACTCTGTTCGAATGTCATCCGGGTTTTAAACATGGCTGAGAGAATGCCCCCAGGCCGCAATGAACTACCCCACTGACTTCGCACAGCGCCAAAAGAGGAAACAAAAAGCCGGAACCGTGGGAACCAAAGGCAACACACACGAGCCATGTCTCGGAAACATTCGAAAACGCCATAGTTGCGAGTCAGATAGAGGTCATGTATCTAAATGGTGATACTTGCAAAATCTGCTCCAACAGCTGCCACTTCAACCACAATAACCACATCAAATGATTCATTCTTGATTCAATTTGATTCAATGTCCGGCAGAGTTTCAAAAAAAGTTGGGCAGCAGGTTGTAGCAGGCTTCAACGTTGTGACATGACGTGGCGCAAAAAATGCGGAGACATAGCACAAAGGAGGCTACCTCGCACAACACTTGCCTTTTTTGCTTTGTAGCATTGCTGGTCTTGTGCTGGTGGTGTCTAGATATGCTTTTAATTGCTTTTATTGGCGTAACATGGCGTAACCACAGGCCCGCACACGCCTCCTAAGCTCAGTCCAAGACCCCTTTCCTGTTTCGAAGAAGACTCCAAAAGTCGCCGCACTGACTAGTCAGTAAGGTCGTCCTCTTCCTGGCAAGGACAGCAGTAGTGCAACAGGGATGAAGCACGTGGAAGATAAACCCACCTCACCATCTCCATCTCTGACAGCCAAAGGTATTGCACCTTCACAGTGGTTCCGATTTTTGCATATCATAATTCTCAACGTCCATAGGACAGTGAGGACAGAAAATCACAGCAGTTTCAAATACCCAGACGCTTTTGCTCTCTCAAAAGGATCCGATGTGATCCGATGATCCGATGAAAAATGATGATGTTTCGCTTCAAGCGGCCGTGAATGATCTTCTCACCAAAAGCAAGGCGAACATCGTAGTCCCCCGGTTCCATACCAAATGGCACCTCAACATTGCACTTAAAATCCACGCTCGATCGTCATTATCCATATGAACAAAAAAAACTTGGGGGTATACTGTATGGGGTTGTCTGAAAGTAGGGTACCAGAAATCCAATGGTTCATCATGTTCATCTTCCCAGAAATTGATGCGATTTGAAGGATCCAGTCTGAGGCAGTGACTTCTACGCAGAGTTTCTTACCTCTTTTAACGCCAGTTGGCCTCAATGACTCATAGCCTCCAGACCCTCCGGTAATCCAACATGGCAATGGGAAAAGTAAGCAGCGCCATCATGTGCATGTTTTTTGCGACTTTCCGCAGCTCAGCTTTGGACGTCAATCTTTTTTGTACCGGGCCATTCACTAGAAAAATGGCCAATCCTCAAAGCAAAGGCAGGTCCAAATCCTCCAAATGGGTATGGGTCAAAATTAGGTACCCCAATAATTGGATGGTTAATACTAAACTAGACATTCACATCTGTGGTTTGCTAGGTCTTCCATTTTGACCCACATCCAAATCCTCCAAACACAACACACTCTGAGGCCGCGGCTGTCCCAGAAGCCTTGTGGCACCTCTTTGCGCAGGCTGACCACCACTTTTCCTCCTGAGGTGGGAACCTAAGTCTCCAGCCGTTAAAGAAAAAACCAAGTCTGTGAAAGTCAAGATGTCCATGAATTATGCTCAGGAAAACTACAGGAAAATGGTGGAAAGATAGAAAAGGATAGAAAAGGGAGTTGGAAACCTACATAAATCATATATATATATATAAATCATATAAATCATTATAAATCCGATTTTCATACTGTTTAGTGCCAGGAAATAGGCTCCTCAGACTGAGATGACTGAGAACAGCGCCGCAGGTGGCTTCACGGACGAGAGTCGCTGTCCATCAACTAAACCAGGAATCAACCCATCGCCTGTGGCCTAGAAAACACATCGAGAAAATGTGGAAGTGGAAGAACCATAGACTCCAGCAGACTCCAGCAGACTCCAGACTCCAGCAGTCTTTGAAATATTGGTCACACCGGTCACACCGGTCACCAACCCCTTGGCTCCGAACATTGCTAAGTTTGCTCACACTGCTGTGAACTGTGCTGGGCTTTGACCATGCCGATGGCACACCTCGGTTGTTGAAAATTTAGAGCCTAAGACGTGAACCAAATAACAACATGCGCATGAAGCTTAAATATCTTAGCAAATCTTAACAAAACTTAACAAATCTTAACCAATATTGAATTTTATATATTGATATTTTGAGTCCTTGGCGTGGCTCATACAGCATGGACAGCTGACTCTGATATCTCCGATGTTTGAGGGAAGGACTGCACTGACTGCCCATCTCCCAGGCCCACTCGTTCATATCGCCTTGCAAAGATCTCAAAGCAAAGGGTTCGGAGAAAAGGTAAAATATAGATATTACATATAGCATATATAATATATATATAATAATATAATGCATAAATATATGTATTATATATACTTGAGGCCGGGGGTGGATGACGAAAGCTAGCGGGGTAGGAGAAAGAAGGAAGGGAAGAGGTGAGTTGCGGAGGGACTGTCATCATCGTGTCGCGGCATTGTTCGTCCTAACGAGGATGCAACAATGATATATTGATATATGATATATAACAATGATATATATGGGGGAGGGGGCAGGGGGGGGCCCTTTCGCGGGAAAAATCACGTGATGTCCTTGGGGAGCCCCGGAATACGTGCTAAAGCAAGAAGACTCTAGCGAGCTGACGCTAGCTTTCGTGATAATGACAATAATTGCCAATAATGATAAAATGTAATTGAATAACGATGATGATGAATGATGATGATGATGATGAATGATGAATGATGAATGATGAATGATGAATGATGAATGATGAATGATGAATGATGATGATGATGATGATGATGATGACGAGGATGATGATGATGACGAGGACGAGGACGAGGACGATGGAGAGGACGATGACGATGACGATGATGATGACGATGATGATGACGATGATGATGATGATGGTGGTGATGGTGGTGATGGTGGTGGTGGTGGGGGAGGGGGGGGGGCCCCCCTTTCGCGTGAAAAATCACGTGATGTCCTTGAGCAGCCCCCCCAATACTTGCTAAAGCAAGAAGACTCCAGCTAGCTGACGCTAGCTTTCGTGATAATATAATTCAATGATCTATACAGAAAATCATTCGAACTACCTCCGAGCAGGATTTGGGGACATGTCTCAGCAATTTGGCACCTAAAGCTCCGAGCTTGTTGGAAGCCGCTGAGAAGGGCGTGGTATCGCCAAAGCCTGGCACTGTCGCCAGTCATCCAGCAGGCCCCGTGGCATCCAGCCGTCCCAGCCTTTGGGGGAAATGTTGGAGCCATTGCACTGAGGTGTGGTGAGGGTCGGTGACCTGAACACAACACAACTTCGCTCTAACATCGGAGTAGATCTGAAAAAACATCCCAAAAAGAGCTATATATATATATCACATGTTTTATCGTGTTTCACAGTTTTCCGTTTCACCTGTGTTTCACTCCATACTTCAAATATCTTCAAATTTTGGGAAGATCCTTCTGAAGATCCATCCTTTCGTTTGCAGCTTCCAGCCGTCCGCCCAGTAACTGAGACTCTCACGCACCGGGCCCAAGAGGACAAGCCAGGCCACCTAGAGGAGAAGCTTCCGGAAGCATTGGTGCCTCGGGTCACGTCATCCAAGCACTATCTGATTCGGATTCCTGCAAGAATACCCACATTACCCATGACGGATCCATGGTGCTGGTATATATGCTAACATGACTGGGGTATATGGATGGTAAATGTTACCGTATATACCATACATGGATCCTATGGGTAATGACATAATGACATGACATAATGCATATACCGCATATACCTAGGAAAATCATGTGAAATCCTAGCATAGGCCCTTTTGATGATTCTGTTTTGGACATTTCGAAATGTATGTTGGAAATCACCAACAAGTTTAAAGTAGTGGTTCTCTATTCCGATAAAATCGCAGCTCACAAAAGTTGTTTAGACACCCCCAATTGACGAAAGTACCCTGATCATCCCTGATCCCCTTTCATGTGGCCAAAAAGAACTCGTACCCAAAATGCATGTTGATCCTCTGATTGTCTCACCCCTGGCCTCAGGTATTCTCTGTGTCAAGACCTCCTGGTTTGCAGGATTCGGCACAACGATGGGAATCTTCATTGACCTGGTGAGGAATCTGAAAATAGATATAGTACATGATGGTATCACCTGGTATTACAGGCTTACACCACATAAAATTCAATAACCATCATGACCATCATGGATATCACAAGCCAAGCTCCTGCAAGGGCAGAGGTGGTCCCGGCATGCTGCGTGGCTTTGCATAGCCCGACATGGTTTCCACCAGGACTACTGTGCACTAACCGTCACTGTTTGGCAACTGAAGTTCAGTGTCGGGGCTTCGGTTTTTCAGTGCTGTGGAAGGTCTGAATTTGGAAAGGATCATGCAAAAAAAAACCTCTGCTGAAGCAAAAATGTACTGACGTCAGAATTTTGCAAAAAAGGTCAAGGAGCTGTCGTGCATCCATTCCTCAAAGTAGGGGAGGTTTCTAGTTTCTTTGGTGTCTTCCCAAACAGCCAACCTCCCTAAATGCACGCAAGATCCAAGACTACTGCCTGCACCTTTGGGCCGCGAGAGATGTTTGGTGGGTCTTCATCACATCGCGATCACGTTTCAGCATTGAACTTGGAGTCTACCGGTCAAATTTACCATTCACCTGCGCAGTGTCCAAAAAATGGCGACTGCTCCAAAGAAATGCCAGTATTGAATCGCAAACATTCTCATAAAACCATAACTATCACAGTAAACCCTTGGGATTTTGCTGGTCTCCCTTGGTTTCCCCCTGTTTTTTGGGCCAACCCCACGTCCTTTTTGTCAGGCATCCACCGCAAGCGCTTTGGGGAGAGACGCACTTTGCGTTTCAGGCCATTGAGCTCCTGAAAGCTCGGTAAATTCCTGCAGCGCAGTGGACTTGCACCACACTGGTGATGATGATATACATATCAGGTACATTTATAATATTATATATATATTATATATAGATATACATGTATACATATATCCCAATGTCCCTATATTATTATATATACAATATATGTATAATATATATATATTACAACTACAACATATTATGATGACTCGTTAAAACGAATGGTGACATGTTATAAACCCCTATGTTATGCCTATCTTCCTTAGTACAGGGTACAAAAAGGATCAAACATGATCTTCAAGCCACTCCAAGCAACTGAATGTTTGATAGGAATGCTAACAACCATGTTTCCTTGGAATCACAACGCGCCAGTCCTCTGTAAACGCGCGCCACCAGAAGGTTAGGTTAGTTCACCCTGTACAGGCACTCTGAGTTTTTTTGCCCTCCACGCCTACCATTCAAAGTAACTTCATTGCCAAGGCCGTTCCCGATCCTTTTGGATATCAAAGAAGGCCTTTTCAAGATACAGCGGATGTTACAACGTAGCATCAAGAGTGTCTTGGAAGTTACTAAAAAAGGATGCTACAACGTAGCATCAACAGTTTCTTGGAAGTTACTTAAAAAGAATGCTACAACGTAGCATCAAGAGCGTCTTGGAAGTTATTTGAAAAGAATGCTACAACGTAGCATCAAGAGCAACGTAGCATCAAGAGTGTCTTGGAAGTTACTGGAAAATGATGCTACAACGTAACATCAAGGACGTCTTGGAAGTAACTTTAAAAGCATGTTACACCGTAGCATCAAGGGCTGCTTGGTGGTTACTACTGTAGTACTTCAAAAGGATGCCACAACGTACTACAAGTAGTAGTAGCATCAAGAGCGGTTTGGAAGTTTCTGGACAAAGTTAGAAAGTTCATGAAAGTTCCACTATTCGAAAAGATTCACAACGTGTTTGAATCTCGGCTGCTCCTCCCAAATCTTCTTTCGAGCTTCTGGATCATGGACGGCCTGGACGAATGGATCCAGATGGCCAGATGGATCCATTTTTTCCAACGCTCCAACGCTCCAAGGCGAATAGATCAATAAGATCAATAAGGCTTCAATAAGGGGATGAACATCGTGAATGTAACATCCATAATACATCCATAACATTCCCTACCACTACGGGCCATATAAAAAGGCTATTTTAAGATGATCACCAGGGATACATTGACATTCATTGACCCATCTCATCCCATCTCCATAATAGAAATCCTTGTGCACTGCAAAGCTGGGCCTTTGATTTGCCGCGAGTGTCACTGACAAACGTCCCACCTTGGAAATGGCACATATCTAATTGGCCTCTCTGTCAAATGTCTCGAAAATTGCACATTTATGCAAATTTAAGAGAATTATAACAGGGAACATGATGATTAAAGGATTAATCGTGATTTACAAATGGATTTGATTTAAACATGATGATTTGGAGACATTTGATGATATTTGGAGGTGCACTATTTTTTCAGCCAGCCATGTGAGTTCGAGGTGCTCTTGCGTTGGTATTCATCATCCACCATGGCCCAGAAGGATGCTTTCCGCGATCTCGGAGTAGGCAGATAACCTGAGTTCTAAGAGGTTTTGCACCAGGGAAAAAGAACCATCGTGATGTCCGTTTATGGCAATGTTTATGATTTTCATGGGGGAAGACTATGATAAACCATGATAAACCATGATAAACCATGATAAACCATGATAAACCACTGGAATTTGGATGATTTTGGTGAATCCTCAAGTATCGTTAGGTCAGCTTCTTTGCTCTCTGAGAAGCGAGCTGGGGAGATCCACAGGATTCACCCGATTTCGGGCTGACTTCTTGCCGGTCTTGGTGAAAGGAAGCTGTGAGGCACGACGAGGCACGGCTTTGGGGGTGAAATCGACTCAGGGTGGAACAGCTGATGGAGACCCTTGGCGCATCAGCTTTGTGTTTGCCTCAGTACTCTGATATATTCTGTAATCAGGTTACCAGGTTCTCAGGTTTTCCAAGTACCCTTGGTCATGGTTATCCTTCACATGAAACTTGAACATTTCGCGTTGGAATGTCTGCCCTGAGTTGGTGGCAGATCCAGGGTCAAAGCTGTGGAAAGTGAGGCTCGGAGCATTCCCGTATCGCCTCGCAACAGATCCCCCCGCAGCTGCACACGGGTGTTGATAATGGCATATAATGGCACTCTGTTGGGCCCTGACAAGTGCATCTCCTTCGCCACCATCTCCAAGCACAGCTTGCCTGGAAACTACATTGATACAGTAATCATTGATCATCATTGATATGAGGACAAAACAAATGATGGTTATACCATGTTATACCTCCATGCCTGATAATTGATATGTAATGATAATAATTATCACTGTTGATACCTCCAGAAACAGTCTTTGACCGAAGCAACTTGGAGGGCCCCAACTGGGGGCCCCACTGAGTCTGTAAGCATGAAGACCAGTCCAATATCTCCTGAGCACAGAGGTTCAATGAGGTTCAGCTTCACTATCTTCACTTCCTGCCAGCTTCTGATCTTCTCTACACCTGAGGCTGCCACTCACACTTGAGGTCGTCCAAATGTTCGTCACCTTCGAGTTCTGTCAGATCGGGATGCCATGGATGCCATGGTCTTGGTGGTGCACTGAGGGCTTGGCCACTCATTGTTGGCGACCTGCCAATGACACAAAGATGGACAAAGCTAAAGCCAGAGATCTACCAGACTCTACCACCTTCCAAGGCCAAGAGATCCAAGGAGATCCAAGGAGATCCAAGGAGATCCAAGGAGATCCATCTGCCATCTGCACCAAGGTCCCCACATGGAAAACATCACTCGAGCATTCCCAGCAGCTTGTAGCTGAGGCCTCGCAGCTGGTGCCAAGGTGAGCCGGGGATCATCGGCCATTGCTGCCAAAGGCACATCAAGAGAGAGGTCAGCTGAAACGGTGCGATCCTGTGCCAAGAAATGTCAAGAAGCAAAGATTCAGGCTGTTACATGCTGTTACCATCTGGCGTTTTGCTGAGACTCGCACGCATTCACTGCCATGGTGTTCTCCATTTTGTACTTGGAAGTGGCAAATGCATGCAAATGCTGCATTATTGGTAGTCAAACAGTCCAGGGATGATGAAAGATGATGAAAGTTCATCTGGATTAATTTGGCCAAGGAAAATTAAATCAGAGTCTGAAAGTGGTCGGCAGGAGGCTGAATCTTTTCCACACATGAGCACACGCTAGGGCACGCGCATTCCAGCTAAACCTTCTCTTGCCTGTGAACTTTCCTTGGCGGACGCGAGTGTTGACGACATTCAGTGTGCTGCAGGGCTGTTTCGCGATCACGCATACTGCAAATACAAACAGATTCAAACGGGCAGAACAAATCACAACAGGCATAATAGGCACATCAAAGCAATGTAGAACAAACAGTAGAGGCGGCATATCATGTGTTTGAGATGCGCATTTCATGGACCCAGAGAAAGTCTTCCCTGAGGACCGATCCATCAATGGTAGCAGCATTGTGCAAAATCCCATGAATCTTGGGATGTTTCTCCTTGGGTTCTCAGCTCTCCCACATGGTTTGATGGTATGGCAGCTTGGCTGCATTTGGCTGCTGTCCAAACCCCCCGGGCTTCCAGCCGCAATGATACCGGCCAGAGCCTACTGCGATAGCAGGATGGGGCAGGACGGGGATCATTAAATTGATCACTTTGGACTTTGTCTATAAGGAATGCCCCAATATGTTTGGCCTTTTCGGGAAGCCACTTTTCCAAAAACCATGAGATTTTCAAGGATTGCAAAATATTTGCAAAATGTCCAAAAAACATTAAAAAACGAGGTACGAGTACCGCAGCACTAAGCCAGCACCAAGCCATGCGGTGCGCCTCAACTTCCTCAGATTCTTCCAAATCTCCCAGCACGGCATCAATTTTGGTGGTCTCAAAGGCATCACCTCAAGGTGGAACTGCCGTGACGCCATGACTTGGTGGAACTGCCCGATGACCCTGAGTATCCTGTGTGCAGAACTCAGCAGGCAAAGCCATTTTCGAAGGCGACCTATCAACATGGGAAGTTGGGCAAACATCGGCGAAAACAGGCGAAAACAGGCGAAAACAGGGAAGAAGATGCTATTTTCGGAGGCAACATATGCAACATGACGCGCAAAGAAATCCTGCGCCGGCACCTTCGATTTTGCCGTGGAGGATCACCTCTTGAAAGGCACGATACTCGAACACACACACACAACAAGCGCTCTAGAATCTGGACTTCCAAATTGCTAAACAGTGGTCCTATATGGGTTTGTCTGAAAATAGGGTATATTCCCAATTATAGCCATTTAATAGGGATAATGATCATTAACCATTGGGTAAAAAGGGGTACACTATTTTCAGACACACCCATATGGTCCTATGTGGTCCTTGAAAATCTTTGAAACACATTTTCTTAAAGCGTTGGGACCGGCATCTTGAGGCCACTGGCCGTAGCTCCAGCATCAAGGAGCCGGGCAGCTGTCTCCAGGCCTTGGAACCGAGACCGCGGCCCAGAATGACTTAGTTGTGATTAGTTATGTTTTTTCCAATTGGAAACAACAATCTACATATGGATATAGATATATTTAAAAATGTATATATATATATACACATATTATAAATATAGAATATAGATACCAGTAGATATGGAAAAAGAATGAAAAATATACAGAAAACAGATCTAGATATGTTGCTATATATATATATATACATAGATATGTGTTGATATCGTATATCATATCATATCATATCATATCATATTGTATTATATTATATTATGTTATGCTATGTTATATTATATTATATCATGTTATATTATATTATATTATATCATATTATATTATATTATATTATATAGACCGATACATGTGCTAACATATGGCCTTAAAATTCATGAAATGTCCGGTTGGCCAAAACTGGACCCGAGCCCAACAACCGTTCCAGTGATTTCACATCCTCCAGGGCCCTCCAGGGGCAACAGGCCATGACCCTTCGTGGCGCCAGTCACTAAGAACACGCGGTCCTCAAGCGAAGGCCTCGAAAAAATGTTGAGAAACTGAATTGTTTGTTGAAAAATGTTGAAAATCAGCTTGGATGTGGGGATTTACACAGATCTGGGACCATTTGTGTGCTTAATATTAGGATGCGGTCAATATGAACGAATATGAAATCAATTCTTTGGCGGCTTTGGATGTCACAAATGTCCAGAAAGTTCTGAGAAATCGGGCATGTCAGGATCTATCCGCCCTTGGCCACACGCCCGATGCACAGGATACAGAAACATACAGTTACATAAACATACCAAAACTATCCCAAATTCCCCATGCGCAAAGCAAGAAGCGCAAGAAGCACAAGAAGCGCTAGATGAGCTGCGAACTTTTGGCTTCTTCCGTCAATGAAGGCCCTGAAGTCAATGCAAAGAGCACAACGCAGCTCCAGCTTCCAACGGGCTTCCAACGGGACGGCGCCTCGTCGCCATCCCGGTCCGACATACGGCTTGCGTAGCTCGTAGCCAGGGATCCATAAAACGCCAGTTCTGGCATCTTCCGGTTCTTCGAACCCACCAAATGGAGGAGGTTTTGCTGGTGGCACATAGGCCGTGCCATCCTCAGGGTTGCAGGCAAGATCAGGCAAGTAAGCGTTCGCTGCTTGGTGTGATTTGTTCTCATCGTTGTGATCGCGAAAAAAAAAGATATGTGATATGTGAAAATCCTACGAGTGGCGATCCAAAATCCGGCTTTCAGAAATTTGTGCATTCAAAAAACTTGGGCATGAAAGGACGTCGGCTTTTAAGGATGACTCAGACACACTTCAGCCGAGATGCCCATCGAAGTAAGGCGCCCAAGACACCCAATGCCTTTCAACTCGTTTGATTTGGGTCTTGCCAAGAGAGTTTGTCACTAGGGATCTGGCAGCCAGGGAGTATCCACATCGCCGTAGGCCTGCTCAAACAATGATCGAGAATTGAGACCCAGAATCATGACATCTCACAGTCTGGCCTCTCGCAACTTTCACCATCGTCGAAGAAGACTCACTCCCGTCTTATGATGCCTGCACAAACACGGCCATGAAAAAGATTCAAAGCCAAGCAACGCTTTCATCCTTCACAGAGCGGGGTCACAGCCTGTCTCCACACCATGTGTAAGGCCAACTGGAAACCTTTTGCTGCAGAAAGGACTCCCCATGTAGAGAGTAAGGTTATGAGATGTTTCTGTGAAATTTTACGCAAGTTTTGCTTGGGTTTCTACATTCAGTAACGTTCAGCTGCCAATGCCAATCTACGATATATTGGTGAAAAACGGAGAGAAACTGGGCTGCAATTGTGCATGTAGATTGGGCGCAGCACTTGTGCTTGTCTTTGCTGGCTGGGCTTACTCTTTCAAGCTGCGGTATGTAAGTCATTGCCATTGCCATGATGTCACAGCAAGTCGCAACCTGCAAATGACTCGCGGACAAAAAAAACACAGCAGCTGTAAACTGCAGCAAGTGTGCATGCAGCACCCTTTTGTGCCCTGCTTCAACCGTTGTCGCTTCTGACTGCCCTGATTGCCAAAACCTTTGCTCCTCTTCTTCTCCGGAATCTGGCACAATTCACCTAAGCAACAAAAAAGTCAAGGAAGAAGTCCAAGCAGAAAAAGAAGGCAAACACATGCAAAACAGCACTGGAAACCAAGTGTGAACAAAGGATGTCGGGTCAGAAGCCCGTTCTTATTTCTTCTGCATCGAGCAAGAGCAAGGCACAAGAACAGGAACTTATTCCATACGGGAGAAGCTGCCTTTGGCGGCCCTTTGTCCCCATGGCAATCAAGTCAGCCTGCAAAATGCAATGCAAGATTACAGCAAGTCATGAAAAATCACCCATGTGCACTGAGAGCAATTCGGAAACACACAACCTTCGTTGTCTCACCAGCCTTGAATCAGACATGCAAATTGGCACAATTCATTAGATTCATGTCATTTCATTCATTTTAATTCATTTCATATATAATGTATCATCATGTATCTATAAAGTCCAGTGTTCTCATCAGCTCATTCTTCTGAATCATGTGATTGGCGTGCCTGGGCATCCAATGATGAATCAAGGTATGAGATAGTCAGCTCTGTGCCTCCGGCAGCGCTGCTGAAGCTAAATAGCTCCCAGGCTCCCAGGCTCCCAGGCACCCCGGCGCCTTTCTGGATATCAACATATGGCTGCTGCAGAACCAAAATGCGGGCAGCGAAGTCAAACTCGACACCGCAAGTTGGTCTGCAGGAATGATTCATGAATGCCTGGGCCAAACAACTCTTCTCTCTCTCTCTCTCTGTGGAATTTATGGTCTGATAACTCTGATAGAGAGGAGAAAAGATGAGAAAAGCATTCTGAGATTCTGAGGCCCTGACCATCCGTGGATAGATAGCATAGCCACGAAAAGGAGGGATCAGTTTCGAAGAGAACGATAGCCGACCACTGGGAGTGTTCCAGGAAATCTCTTCTGCCTTCTCTCCCTCACTGGTATCATCTGGTTGCGGTGGTGACACAGCTAGTGCTCGAATCCATGGTTCAAGGGTAGTTAAAGCAGCTTCTTTGGCCGCACAGTCTGTCATACCTGTCACTTGAAGGATGTGCTGTATCACAGGAGACATGTACACAACCACTGTGCAGTTGCAACACAACGCTCCAATCAAATTCGCGTAGCCAGTTTCATCCAAGAAATCCCAATCGGATGGCAAAGCATCTCTACCTCCCAAGGCTTTCAATGCCAACTGTCTGGAAATTTCTGCTTCCTTTGCCAGCTTCCTTTTGAAAGACTCCACATCAATTTCCGGTGGCATATCCACTGCATCCCAGTATGGTCTGCGGCACAATGCTTGGAGCGGAGCTGCTGCTTCTGCCGAAGGTCGCTTTTTCGCTTCAGCAAGGCACCAGCAGATGAGTTTCATCGCCAACATGTAGAAAGCACATTGAATCTTTCGCGCATTTCGAGCAAAGCGTTGCGCTGCAGCGCGTCTTGTACGTAGGGGTCCCAGGATCCTTTCGTGCTCGTCATGGCATGCAGAACTGCAAAAGAGTGGGCTTCTCTTTCCGAAAAGAGGTTTGCCCTCCACGATGTCAGAAAGTGGTTCCTCCAAAATGTCGCTTTCAGACCCCGTCCAAGTCACCTTATCAGTCAGCAAGCGCAGCTGCCATGCGGGACTGCCCAAAGCATGTCCACACAAGCAACAGGCACCACCCCTTCTCCGGGTGCTTCCAGACATTTGCACAATACCACCCAGGGGCCCCTCAGAGAAGATGATGGCCGGCGTGCCGGGCCCAGTAGGCTCGCTGGTTGCGAACAGTCCCCGGCCACAGTCAGGGGTGTCTCTGACGTTAACGCTGTGTCCTCGCACCAGCCGCTCGATGTAGTCCAGCACACTGTCTGCCATTGCGCCAAGTTGGCGGTCCAGTCACATGATGAAGCTCAGAGGATTGTAGCACTTTCTAGGGTTGAATGGAAGGTTAACGGTTAAATACCACTCTCCATACAGAGCATCAGCGAATTGCCCAGACTGTCAGATATTAGCAGTGCAGAATGCAGAACAAATGTGGACACTTGGCTGAATAGTAGCAGCGGGAGCATGTCTGTTAAACCCCTGGATCAATCCCGGTACATGGTGCCATGGGTATGACTTTGGATGTATGAGCAGCGGAACACACCCAGCGCCTACAAGTCCATTATGTCAGCGTCGACTCCTTTCTTCAGAATTTTGGGCCTTACTATTGGTTAATCTTTCCATTTGCCCCTCTCATTGGAAATGTTCATAATTCGATCATCCTTCAAAGCATCACCAGGCCTTGCGTTGAAGATATGATTGATTCCCATCTTACTTGATTTGGCGCCAGCGTCAAAAGCATAGATCCACCCTGCGTTTTTCTTCCAGCGAAGACTGAGGCTAGCTTCTGTAGCATCAGTCCTTCATCACATCTTCAACAGGATAGGCAAATGGCAGAAGCCCCAATTGCCCACCTTATCCGCGCCAAATTTTACGGTGGTAGTGAAACTACAGGTAACATCAGGTAACGGCTTCAGGCATGTGTTGGGACATGTTGGGACCCATTTTTTTCTCTGCAGTGCACGGAGTGCTTGACTTGGTCCTTTTATCCCTTACCATTGGACAGAGTATGTGGGCCATGCATCCATCACGAGGCCCGCACATCAACATCTGCGATCCGCTCGTAATGATCATCTAGTGCCTGAGATGCAAACCATGCGAGCCATGCCCAAAATCCTCGTGCCATGCCCTGCCAATGGATACATAAACTGAGTATAATACCACAATCACAAATGAGATCTGAGACTGTATAGCCCGACCCAAAACGCACCAACGCCAGCCGGGGTATGCCCAGCGCAGGGTCGCCCAAGATGCCGTGTGAAAAACGTGCTGAGGACATCTGAGGACAGGACGATCGACTTGAACTTTGTTAGATGATCAAGCCTGAGTTGCTGAACGTCCAGCCAGCTCTGCCACACTGGGCATAGGATGGCATAGGTATCGGTCCAGAATTTAGGCAGCTTTGGGGCTGTGGTAAATTTCATAAATTGGGCAGGTGTTGGTGGGACCTATCAACAGGTTCTGCTGAGAAACATGGTGGAACATGGTGAAACACTGCATCTTGATGAACAATTGCATCTTTTGTTCCCTGGTTGCTAGCCTCATCCAACCTAACCCTCCTGCCAAGTGGCACCATTCGCATCTCCAGCTTCACGAGATCTTAGTCATGGAATTGGAGGAGTTGGCCCTTTCTTAGGGCCATTTGTTCCACCCTGAGTTACCAGCTGCTACCAAGGCAGTAGTGCATCCTGGCTGGGCCCAGGGACCCAGGTTCAATTCCAACGCGCGTTCAAGTTGAGGAAAAAACCCTCGCCGGCAAGACCCACTGCCGAAGGTCAGCAGAGGTTGTTCTTCCCTATCTAGCCTTCATCAAAGATTGTGCTCTGATCGCAACTCAATCAGCTCACAGATCAGCAGTCTGCGCCTAAACTCCTCTGGTTGGTTGAAGACGGTCGGATCCATATTGGCAGCCCCCAAGAATAGCAAAACCTGGCTGCCTTCCTTTGGGCCATCCTGCGGCGTTTTGCCTGCAGCCCAAAGGCACAAGACCAAGATCATGTCATCAAAACAACAACAAACTCCAAGTCCGTCCTTTGGCCACAGGTTGCTTTACACATCTTCGTGGATTTCTTTGCAAAGGAGCATCTAGGCGGAGAACCTTGCACAGAAATGCAGCAAATTCAACTTGGAGAAAGCCAAGGACCAAGGAGAAACACATGGAGCTTCAGCAGACCTCTTGTATGAAGGCTTCGCCGTAGGTCGCGGTATCTCTCAACGCCTGGAATCCAAAGGTCTGGTAGATCTGAATATATCTGAAATCATCTGAATATATCAAACATATCTGACGCGATGATGTTGCAATCGTGAGTTGTCTTCCAGACTTCTTTGCCAGGTGCCTTCTGCGCGGCTTCCTTCTCCGAAGCGAGCCGGAAAAGAAGCCTTTTTGCACTTGGCTGATCTGATACGCGAGAAATGATGGCTCTGCAAGTTCGTGAATCGGCTAGACATAAGCCGTGGACGAACACAACGCGTTTGCAGAGGTCATGTTCACCATGAGCTGTACCTGTCAGACAAAACAACAGTGGCAAATGAGGAGAGGAAGAGGCTTCCGAGGCGCGCCATCAGGGTCAGGCACTCCGCTAAGCTCAAGTCACCAGACGCAACACCCTGCAATCGAATATCAATGGCGAACAGCATCAACGTCCCATTGCTGAGAATGTAAAGAAATTGAATTGGGACTGAGTCAGGTCTGAACATCACTATATAATCACTACAAGATACTACAAGACTACAAGATACTACAAGTAATATATAGAGTATCTGATGGACTTCGCCCCACTGCTCTTGATCTGCAAAGCTTTTCCGAGCTCCAAGCCTCTCTCAAGCTGGACAAGGGCCCATCTTTGGAGTCCTTCAGAGCTCAAGCATGGCCCAAAAAGATCCAAAAAGTCAAGGTGAAGCTCTGAAACACTTGGCCTCATACAAGAGATGATGCAGCAACATGAAGTACCTACACATGTGCATCACGAAATATGTTCAATTGAAAAAATGAAAGGATCGCATGTTGAACAATTTTGGTAAGCTTGCAATCCAGCGACTCATGACACGCCTGGGAACTAAGTGGAGGAGCTCTGGCTTCCACCACAATCCCATGCGCGGCTTGCGTGGAGGGTTCAGGATGTTCACATCTGGCCTGGAAAGAGGAGATATCAACCACCTAGTGTCCTCCTGGAGTCCTCCTGGTGTCCTAAAACCAAAGAAAAGCACCGCCTGATGATCTGCCAAGTGCAGCGCACCCCCAGCTTTGCAACCTGGACACTCCATTTTGTTGGTCCACCCATAGGCTCAGATCACACTAGGCTCATCCCAGATCATCCCAGATCCCATGGCATATCTTGGCGCCCCGAGCCATCAGCAGCAGTGGAGGAACGCTGCGAATCAAACCTGCCGAGTGGTCGAACTGCTCGAACTGGTCGAACTTTCCAAGTCACTGAGTCACTGCCCACAGCAACTCGCCTAAAGCCACCTGAAAGCTCCAAGTCCAGGGGAGACGTTCGTTGGGCAAACCTCAGATTCCGCGGGTCCTGTCTAGTATAATTCGTATATGATGTATTATAGGTAATTAATGATTTAATCGCAATAATAGTGGTCACAGTAACAATCGCAAATATAGTAGTAATAACTCCATAATAGCAATTTATAGTAACAACAGTAATAATTATATAATAAATAGTATAGTAATATCACGTATCATATCCCAGTGCTGCACAGTGCCCTTCTTTTACAAGCCATTCCTTCCAGTTCCGCGACTCAGCATCTGACCAACTCCTCCCAGCGGTGCCACCAAGGCAACCATGGCGTCATTCAGTGCCACGATCTGCAGGGATTGGTGGGATCGAGGCCAAGGCCTCAGTCCCTTTTTGGTCCCTAAATCCACCGGTGTTACCGTCCACTGGTTATAAGGTAACCTTCTGAAATATCATGAAATATCTACTAATTCCATGTAATGATGATTATCATCCAAAATCACAGAATTTTGAATTACCCTTAGAAATTATCAAAATGCATAAAATATGTATTATATAAATCACAGGCAATTCATCTATATCACAATGATAATCACCCATTAATCCCATTAAAACCACCATTAAAACAGCACTGTTCGACCATCCAACCTGCGCCACTGCCTCGTCCACCTTCTCCCAGCTCGCTTTCAAGCCCAGCCGTGCCAAGGTGCCGGACTCAGCGACAACACATGGAATGTTCTTGGGCGGATAACTGTTTATCATATGTTCATAGAGAGAGATTTTTATATAGAGAGAGAGAGTATAGTATATAGAGTATAGAATGTACGTAGTATCATATTCAAATATATAATAATAATTATTATTATTATTATTATCATTATTATATAAATACTTGCAGGAATTATTGAGTATACGGCATTATATATTACAGTATCAGTATATGTATAGATCTATATAGTGTAAAGTATTCTGTGCCATATAGTATTATTGTATATTATTGTAATAATTTGTAATATACACTTTTGAAAAAGAAACCACATCGGCTTTTGGTCACGTATCATACAGATATCATACAGATTCATACAGTATCATGAAGTATCCAAATTTGACCCATTGAGCAGTTGATTTCCAACCAGCCTTCGCGGCTTCGCGTTCTTTTGGGGTTCACGGGTTCACGGGTCGCAACCGAGGCACCATGTGTATTCGCTGCGCCCATTTCACACCATCCACCTGAAGTTCAGGAATGGTTTGCAAAGAGCTCAAGCTTTTCCTCTATCCAAAAACGCGGCAAAGGCCTTGCCAGAAGCCAGATCACTTGTGCATTTTTCGATGACCTGCAGCAGAAAGGAGTGTTCTTCACCTATGAATCAGAATATGAACCTTGGACATGTTTTTTCATCCAGCTGTAGCAGTGCCTCTTGAATGTCCCCTTTCAGCTCTTCCAGGGCATCCTCACCATTGATATCCATGGTCCAAAGATATCCATAGTGATATCCATAGATATCCATCCATTCCGAAAGCAACCAGGCAAGCGGTAACATCCCGTAATCATAGCGATTCCAATTTCTCAGGAACTTGCCTTGGTGTAGTGTTTGTGCACATAGCGCAGTACGCGGGAGTGGTCTGCCTCCACAAATACTCAGAGATCAGTGGGGTATCTCCGGCATTGTTCCTTGATCCTTAATTCAAGAACTCCATCTGCAGGGATTTCAGATTTGAGCAAGCTTGTAAAGAGGTGGAGTCCAAAATTTAATAAAAGATTACATGTCATGTACGTACTTAAACTATCTTAAACTTGCAACAACGGTTCTGTGCAAAGTGGAGCAATGTCTCCCAGCTCTCCTTGGACATAGTGTTCAGAGCCACTAAACGCCCATCTGGGAAAGGATTGGAGCTGAAGCAGGCATGGTCATTCATCACCTGACGTTCACAAAATCCCACGAGGCCAAGGATGCATTGAAGGCTTGTAACAAGAGGAAATGCATGGAAATGCCATCCAAGTGCCATCAAATGCATGTGAAACGTGAACGTCCAAAGTTCAGGGCTGTGATTGGTACCCTACCTCTTTGCAAGCTGCATAGCTGAAAGCAACATAGTAACCCGGCTCACCATCCACCTTCAAAGCGTTGCTTTTGCACTTCTCAGTTGGAAGTGGTCTAGTATGAAAATGTAGTTGGAAATAGTTGGATGTTGAAATCACTACTCACTAGAGTCATTCTGTCGATTTGAGTAACGGCAGATGCAACTGGTCAGTGCCTGGACAAAGCGCTGGTTGGCAAATCGGCTGTGCAGGTGTGCGTTGAACTGCAAATGATGTCTTCGAATCTGCGGCGGACGAATGGTCTCAAACTGGACCCACCAATGAATCAAAGTCTCAATTCCCAACCCACCAAACTGGGCCTCTGGATCCACCAAATCTTGTTGGTGTACAGAACTGCGTTCCCTGCCAATCCAGTCTCACATTTCTATCGATTCCGGTAGTTTCGGCCCCGGATGGCGGCATCCCTCACCTCCAGGAGCCAGGCTTGGAGCGCTTTCGGTGGAAGGACATCTGGCGGTTCCAATGGTTCTGAATGGTTCTGACATGTAAAAAACCTCAGAAAAGGGCGAGGAAAAACCCAGATATTTAATGATATTTAGTCATATCTAAGCTACGTAATTATTAATAATGTCAATCAAAGCATGGTTTATTAATGTTTATTAATGTTTATTAATGTTTATTAATTAATTGGAGTCATTCTCTGATACTGATTTGGTTCCCCCCTCAATTGGACAGCCTAGGGGCAAATTAATCTAGTCGACATTATTGAACTATATTGAACTGGCCAATTTTCAGCATCAAACATGTTGAGCCGTCTTCGTTGCATCTTCAAACTTGGCCAGCAAGGCCAGCAGAAGGCCGAACAAGAGGAAAATTGGCATTGCCACTCCAACCATGCCATGGTACTGGAGGTAGAGCCTCAACTCCATTCCAAAATCATCCAGAAATCGTTCAAAATCATTCACAAATCATTGAAATCATCCAAAATCTCATCCTACTAGTGAATTATTCTGGGATTTCTGTTTCCGCAATCCATCTTCGATAAGAGCGCAACTCGCCAGCTGCTGGCGTCTGCAAACCGGATTTCACGGCAGGGGATTTCATTTCTCGCGTGGGGGAGAACACGACGAGACAAGAAGCTCTGAGGCTTTGTTGCTTCTGTTACTGCCTCTTGGGTCGCCAATGAAATGCTGCCCATTACAGCCATCTTGGGGAATTTCATGAAATTTGTCACCATGTCTGTGCAGCTTGAACTTGAAGCTACGGAACTGCATCATGCTGTCACTCCAAAAAGTGTGAAATTCCAACCGGATGCCAGGTTCACACCAAAAGTCCAATGAGTTGGCAAAGCGGAGCATCGATTTGTGCTGGGAATCTCTGCTAGACAAAGCAACAAGATCTGCCGTTTGCCAAAGAGGCAAGAGTTTCGCAAGACTGTTCGGTTCTATGCACAACTGCGACCTTCGATGCTTCAAAGATTTTGCAGTACGGCTTGTGCGGACGGCATTAAAAAGTTCGTCAGCATGCCTTCCCATCGCAGAAAATTTCTAGTTCTCGAAGCTCTGATGAGTTCTGATGTGTGATGTGCAAATCGTCTCGTACCTGGGAGAGCTGCAGCAACGGGGCCCATCCAATTCGTTGGCCGAAAAAAACTGCTTGGCTCTGCCACAGTGGTCGCTGAGGTTCCCACATTGGCCAAGGGTGGACCATGCCAATCTAGGGCTCCTGAGGCAGGCACCTCAGTGGAAAACAGAGTGTCCCAGTGTCCCATCAAATGCCTTCCGTTTCTTCAACTCACTCTACCCCCTAAGTCCCAAAAGATGGAAATAAAATTGTGCATAACTTGAGATGAAGAGAAACTCACCTACATCTCACAGAAAGTTTGCTTGAGATTGGTGCGGGTCAATGTCTGGTGCCTTTCCCGTCGTAAGAGACTTGGCGTAGATGAAAATCGTCGCCCCTGACGCACCAACTTTCATATCTGGGTGTGTCTGAAATATACGTACGCCATTCAGGTAGGTAAATTGATGATAAACTATCAAAAAAAGCTGAAACATATCAAAAACCAGTGGATTTAGGATGAACTTATGGGTACACGACTTTCAGACAGCCCCAAATTTCCTGCTGAATTTTGCCGAGGCAACCACCCATTCCCCAGGATAGCCCGGCGCAAACGCCAGCATCCAAAATGGCTCGGTAAGGATAAGGCATTCGCTTTACCTTGGATACACCCAGGACGGACGGTGGAGAGGTTCCATTTCCTGAGGCCCCTGCAACCGCGACGATCATCATGATGCCCAGAATCAGGCCCCACGAAACTGCCTGTGCCATGGTCAACACTACACAAATGTGGCATCCAACCACCATTCGGGATTCCGAACATATGAAGAGGTAGAAAGAATTAAAAACAAAAAACAAAAACAGACAAAAACTATCAAAAACAATTGTTGTGCGAGGGCCCCTGCGAGTACTATCCTTTCAGACTGGTCATATCATGTCATATCATGTCATATCATATCACTCCAGTGCCATCGACCACAGCAAATCTGGCATGTGCGGCTCTGATCTTCACGTCCAGTTTGCCTTGCGCTTGTTGCGCGCATGGAAGAAGGCCATGGCGTATGCAGGTGCGAACACCTGCACCAGGTGATGGGCCATTGGGCCATTGGGTTGGCCATCGTTGGCCCATGTGGTTGGGCATCTTGTTGGGTCTGACATGTTCACCGTTTGCTCGGATAGGGATTGTATGGGATTGTCAGGAGTATCACAAGACGCACTGTCACCATTCTACCGAAAACTGGTCACTCTTGTGCAAAAAAAACACTCGTTTTTTCGCTTCATTTGAATTATCCTTTTTTTTGCAACCCAGTGCCCTATCTCTTCACGATAAAGGCCGGGATCGCATATCTGAACTCCGCCGGAGGCACTTTGCAGTCGGAGTCAAAAATCCCTGTGGCCACCGGTCCTCCTGGTCCGTTGCCACCAGAGAATGCCCACAGTGGAATTGTTCTATCCGACAATTTCCCCTGCGAACTAAAAAAAACTCAAGCTCGCAAAGTCACTTAGGTGATCTTTGGGAACTTTGGTTTGGGCACCGAGCAGTTCAATAATCTGCGTCTATCTGCCTTGGGTGGACAGGAAGGATTTGTACAATCCGACAATTTCCTTCGATGTCTGAGCTACCTGGAAAGCTGAGTAGTTTGTCGGCCTGGATGCTACTTAAGGAATCACGCTTCAGTCCATGATGTGGATCTGTAATGATGAATAGCGGCATAGCTATCATGTGCTTGGGAAACTGAATACATGTCACACTAATTATCATTAAGATTCATTAAGCATCACTGTTGCATGACATGATCAGCATCCAAATCCAGCCCCTCTTTTAGGCTCAGTGCCATGCTAGCAACAGCAGCGCCATAGTGATGGCGCCACTCAGCGCTGGCGTTTTCGAGTCGTCGGCTGCAGCTTCGATCGACGCGAGACTTGGAGCTCCAGACCATTCACTGGGCGCCTTGCACGCACCTTTCATCGTGAGAGTGCTCTCGCAGACCAAGGTCTGGGTAGCCGAGCTGCCGTGGTATCCCACCTGGTATGCAGGGCCGTTACCAGCTGCTGAGCCAACGGTGATCAGGATGTAGTATGGCGTGTTTGCGGACAAGACATAATCTGTTGCATCGCCAGTGTTGAATGCGCGCTTGGCGGACGCCTTCATTCTGCCACCCTCGAAGGTCAGGCTGTAACTGGTCAGGTCCTGCTTCTCGTCAATGGTAATGCTGCCTGGGAAACCATTGCACTGCGAGAGACTCACTGGGACAGTGAGCACCGGACCTTGCTTCGTCAGACCCTTGGCGCAAAACATTTGTCCCATGCACTTGTAGGTAACACCACAACCTGCTCCGCAGCCACAGCCACAGCCAGAGCCGCAAGTGTTTCCACAGCCGCAAGTGGTTCCACAGCCGCAAGCGGCGGCTGTGGTGGTTCCACAGCCACAACCGCAAGTGGTTCCGCAGCCGCAGGCAGCAGCCGTGGTGGTTCCACAGCCACAACCACAAGTGGTTCCACAGCCGCAAGCGGCCGCCGGTGTTCCGCAACAGCCACATTTGGCTGCGCAGGGGCTCACGGGGGCTGTTGTTCCGCAGCCGCAGCCACAAGTGGTTCCACAGCCGCACGCAGTAGCAGTGGTGGTTCCACAGCCACAACCGCAAGTGGTTCCACAGCCACAAGCCGTGCTTCCGCAGCCGCAGCCGCAGCCACCTGCATCAGCAGGGCATGTGCCGTAGTTGTGGCCACCCCCATGGTTGTGTAGCTTTCGCACAGTCTTTCCCTTAAAGTCAAACGGCAAACCTCGCTGCACTTTCTTGAACATGGCATGCTCGGGACATCCGTTTCCCGTGATCACCTTGCCACCCTCCATGGTCGAAATCTCTACCTGCTGAGCGCCAGAGCGGCTGCAGGGCTGCCCTTCCTTGGAGCTGCGGAAGTTTTCCACCTTTCCCAGCTGGGCACCTCTCAAGCAGGGAGGCACATAGGGTGCTTCAGGAACCAAGTAGTATCGGTATTCTCCGGTGGTCTCATCAACGGCTCCATGGCACTCATCCAAGAGCTTCTTTTCAGTGCGGACGCCAGCCTTGAAAGGGCCCATGATGGGCGCTCCATCCAGTGCCCAACCAACCTGGACCTCAGGTCCGCTTTTTGGCCATGCCTGTTCTCCTTCAAATTTCCACCAGGAACTGTTCTTGGGCACCGGAAGGCCCATAGTTTTCAACAAGCAAAGAGGTGGTGCATGGTAGTGGTAGTGGCCATAGGTATCACCATGACCTCCACAGTTGTCGAAGAGCCAAGTCCAGCCCTCTTCTGGGTGTTCGTGCACAAACAGCACTCCATTCATTGCAATACCCACCACTCCACCAAGCTTTCCGAGGCCCTTGGGTGTCCCTGGTGCAGAAGCTTTTGGCAACTGCACCTTCAGGTCACGCGCACGAGGGATGTATGGATTCTCGGGCTGGCGCAGACGGCGGGTAGTTCCGCAACCACAGCCACATCCACATGTTCCGCAGCCCTTGGTGGGGCAATCCACCAAATCAGCGGTCGCATGGTATCCGAAGGTAAACACATCTGAGCCACTCATCTCTGGGATGTCCTTGTTGAAGCCGAAACCGCACCAGGTGTTTTCGGCGCAGTCTGCAGTGACCTCCAACTCGCTATCCTTCACTGCGATGGTCCATGTGGTGCCTAGGTGTTCGAAGACGAGTGGTTCCGCCGCAGCACACGACCAGAGCATCCAAGGAACAAGACCTGCAACCCTCATCATGGTCAATGAGACAGCCGAGACAGCGAGAAATTCGTCACGAAACACGGCCGACAACTCCAAGAGCCAAGGGGTTCAGCCAAAATGGCTAGGGACAAAAACTCGTATTGGATTAAAAGAAATAAAAACGGACATGGATACACGGTATGTTGGAATCTTTCTGCGGGCAGCGGCCAAATCTCGAAAGATTGTTCTTAGATGTTCTTAGTCTTAGGATGTACATGGATGTATTCTCCACGAGCTACTATGACTATGATTGCTACACTTCAATCGCAACACGAAACAAAGACTGGGATGGTCTTTCAGTGCAAAAAAATGCAAAAAGAATGACACGGACAATCAGTTATCTGTAGTTTACATGGGGTTCAAATTCCAATTTGGAATAATTTGGATATATTGGCCCATCATGGCCCATCCAACTGGCACCTTTCTGTGGATCGGCTGGTCCCCATCAAGAAGGAGGGCTCGTCGCACCACCAACGGTGAGAACTTCTGCTGAAATCCGCGGTACCCCTCACCAGCCAAATCAGCATCGGCACTTCTAAGATCTTCTAAGCGTCTACAGTATGACGCTCTATGGTAGCGCAGTGACTGTGACTCAACTTGATTCTGTCATCGCCAAACTGAGACCAGAAACCAACACGCTTCGAAAAACATCATGGCAACAGGTTTCCAGCCTCTGCGTAGGCAAAGAAGAAACCGGAAAGCACCTTAGATGATCTTAGATGGGACATTTTGATCAATTTCGACTGAAAAATCCTGAAAATGACAGAGATGACAGAGCACCAAAAACTGATGCATTCCAAGGACATATGCGCACCAGCCAGCAGGTCCTAAGCCTGCAGCCACAAGGATGCTGCCCCAGTCCCCAGTTCATTTTTGTTGTTTGACTGCCCTTTTCAAATCATCTCACAAGTCGGTTCCCCTTGTCAGTATTTGTCAGTAAATTCTGGCAGTGAGTTCAACATGGCAACTTTTTCTGCCAACACCCTCGGCAGTCTTTGGCACAAATCTGTACCAGTGCCACCACCACGCAACCAAAACACTAAAGACCTTGCAAGAAGTTCACTCTTCCAAATTGTGGAGTGGCAACTTTCGTCGAAAGCCGAACCTTTCCTACATGCCCGAAGGTCACTGGTTCACCCAAATCAAAGAAGTGCGCATTTGTGACATCAGCAGTCAAATCACTGCAACTCTGAATGGCTTGGTGGCCACCATGTCTTGGTGAGCAACTTGGTGGCCGAAGCAAGGCTCGCTGAAGCTTTGCTCTGCTTGCTTCGCTCAGACATCGTGCACTGCCTTTCTGCCGCCCATGCTTTTCAGCACGCAAAAGGGCTTGGCTGTGACGGACTGGTGAAGAAGCGCCTGGCCTTGACAAGCTTTGATGTGTTCAAACGAGGAAAGGCTAAAACCACACTGGCATAGGGTCCACAACTAAGACATGGTGACAAACATCAACAAAAATCTCAACCAACATTGTTCACTTGTCCAGTGCTACCAGAATCTCTGTTGCATATGTAGGAAACACAGTTGAGAACTGTTACATCTATGTGTATATTATATATGTTAAAATTATTACGTAACAGTGAATATCGCTCCAGATGCCCTGTGGTCACCGCCCCATTCTGCCAGGTATCTGAGACTTTCGGCACGGACTTCTTGGTACACAAGATCTTGGAGAGATGCAATGCCTGGGTGTTGACGGTGTCGACATCTGTGATGAACGGGGTGTTTCCTTTGACCTGCTTGGAGTGGAATGTGATCTCTGGACTCGTTTGATAGAGCCTAGGCAGCCTAGCTGATCATATCTGCCACATCTCATCATTTTGGCTCGATCCCCTTGGCATACACCAGTGAACGGACTCTGGCCAGTGTGTACATCGTGGTTTGTGTGATGCAAAGGGTCAGCTTCGCACAGGTCAAGCTGGTTGCTGAAAGGCCTCTCGCGCACAGCGAAACTTGGATTTTGAGATGCGCCACTCAAATTGTTCAAAGCCTGCCGAAGCTCCAGATTGTTCCGAAGTCTGGCACGGTCCTCTTGTTGGCACACAGATCTCCTCCTAAGCCTCTCGAGTAAAGGACATGAATCCACCACCTGGCTCTCAATACCCTGGTCTTTACATCTGAATTCATTGAATTCCTCCAGCTTCTGACGGCCAGAGTTATTTTCTTTGCAGAATTGCGAAATGCCCGTGAGATCTCTTCGAGCCCCAAAGTCTTTGTAGGCAGCTTCCTCCACAGGGATGTTTTTGCTGGACTCCACAGGGATGTTTTTGCTGGGATACACTGCATGGAAATACAACTGTAGGTGCGTTTCAGTACAGTAAGAAGTGGAGTAACCTGCGAGGATGTTGCTGTGTAAGTGTATGGAAACTTTCTCATGCTCAAGTTCAGCCACTGAGACTAATTGATACAAATTGGAAATCACTACCCCCAAAAGAGTGTACACACAGCAAGCTCGCACTTCTGTCAGAACTTGGCAGCCAAACTGCGAGAAGGATCCATAAGGAGTGTTTAAATCCAAATCTCATTGAGACTTAAAGCTTCTAACAGCAGAATTTGCAGGTTTGAAATGTTTGAAGGACATCTCAGTCACCAGAAGCTTCACCGTCCTGGGAAAACCTGGGAAGGCTGGAACTCTGTGATTCGAATGGATCGCCAGGATCTCTCAACAGGTCAAGCTCGGAGATCAACTCTCCAACAATCGTCGTCCGCAAATTTGGCTCCATGGCCCGCAGTGTATGGCTGCATCACAAGTTTCCGAGCAAAGAACTTTTCAAAACAAAGAAGGGATGGGATACTGTCGGACTTGTTGTATGTCATGCACTTTACATCCTCAAACAAGGCTTTGGTAGTTTACTTAGCTTCAAACTTGAGACGGGCTACAGCTTGAAACTTCCATGAGCCGATCTTTGTGATGGATGAATTTGCATGGGCAAAAAAAACTGACTCGATTTCACTGAGTCCTCTTGCAGCTTCCACAAGCAGTGGGTTTTCTGCCTTGCGTGAAAGGCTGCAGAGCCACTGGTACACAGCGTCGAACCCCATTTAACCTAGGCAAGAGCCAGGTTGAAAAATCGACGGTCAAGCGCACAAGTTCTCAGTTTCCCAAGCCAATGCATTGTCATACATTGTCTTCAAAAAGGACTGCCTGAAATGAATCCATGATGGCAGTAACTTCCAAATGACATGTTTTGATACAAAACCATACTATATTAGATCCATCAACTCACATCAAATCATATCAAAACAAATCAAACCTATTCAAACTTCAAAGATGTGTAAATTACATAAATAAATACATCAAGAATCAAGCCTATCAACAGCCCAAAACAAAAGAACGCTTAGAGGCCCCACAGGAGCAAAATCACCCCGACAATGGCCCAGGTTGAGCTGGCGGTTGCCCGGACCTCACATTCACAACCGCTCCGACCACATCTCAGGACGTCGCACAAGTTCCGGGCTTCCAGGCGGTCAGCTTGGGTGGTGCACTCATGGAGATGTTAACAACCACAACTTGTCACAACTTGTCATAACTGATCTACTCTAAGACTGAGCCAAAATGGTAGGGTTCTGTAGTCTCAACACAGGTGAATCAGGTGAAACTACAAGTATCCAACACCCTGTGCTACCTCTTGATCCTCATGACATTGGCAAGTCACAGTCACTTCGTGTCAACTTGACATCTTCTGCACTTCTTTCTGGCAACACGAGCCTTGGGTCTGTGGAGCACGCCACAGCAAAGACGATGCAGGACATCGCCCGGTCAGATCGGTCAGGACATCTTTGTATCCCAACGTTCACCCTGCCACAGTCTGTGCAGAGACGCCCTCGAGACCTTGGTCAACGAAAAGATGGCACCCAAAGGTCAGATGGATGAGACAAAGACTCATCTGACTAGGATAAAATGGATAGAGAAACACGCAGATAAAAAATAATAAAAGTATATAAAAGTCTGAATCATTCAAGGTCAAACGACAAGAAACTCGTCAACCTCTCAGCTTGGACATTAGGCAGTCCAAGGATGCAACTCGAAGGGAGCCAGGATCCTTTCAATGAAACGCCCATGCTTTGTGAACGGTGTCCAAACTGCCAAGAGACCGCCTACTACGCTCAGTGATCTCAGTGGAAATGGCAGCAAGTGGCGAACCCAGGGCGAACCTGGCCTGTCGTACTTCGAGTCCCAAACCATCAACTAAGAAGGACCTGTCGACAGGCTCAAGTGGAACAAGATGGAACAAGTCTTGCTGGAGCCGCTCAAAGGTCATCAACAGCGCCGGCAACGCATCATAGCTGGCAGCAATAACGGAATTCCCCTAATACTTCTTCTCCCTCGCCCGGTGACAATGACCTTGCGTCTTCTGATCTCAAGTGGATTGGATTATCACAGACTTGCAGTGGCAACTTTGGCGCCCACTAAACTATGTTTTGCGGAGAAGTTGTGGTCATGCGCCATTTGCAGAAGTGCTGCACCTCAGCTTCAAGAAGCACCAAATGGATCCAAATGGGGGGCAGCAGCAAATGTCATGGCTGGGCAAAGAACTGACAGCTGCTTCAGCTACAGGAGCAGAGCAAGACCCCCGGCCTCAACGGGGGATGACAGACCAGAAATTTATTGCACAAGAATCACAAGAAGTGATGAAACATGATGAAACCAACCCTTGCCTCCTAGATCGTGCAAGTCCAGAACCTGCTACAGAAGAGCAGGTTGTCAAGAGGTTACGATGTGTTTGCCACCAATCTGCCTTCCGTCTTTCACACCTCCACAGTGACATGTTGCCAGCCTGTCCCAGACAAAAGGCCAACAAAAACAGCTTTGGCTTTGACCAAAGGTTCACGGCTTGGTCAAGTCAAAAGCTTCTTCAAAGGCTTCAGTCTCTGATACTTTGAAAAACACTGCGGTGAAGAATAAGATGGACACCTCCTGGGCATCGATCAAGAGACTCATTGCGCCGGCATCACGCCCTGCTTCTATGAGGACATCGGCGACCCCAACAACTCGTACCTCAGTGCCATCATTCCAAATTGGAACATGCCAGATTTGCATCCTCACACCAGATTGAATTATATTGAAATTACTCGAAAAAACTGTGTGGCCATCAGCATTAGCTGCAAGCATTCACAAGGTACCCAAGGTACCGGCACCATCGTCAAGGTCATGCATGGCCTGCAGAGTCTTCAGTGCAACGAGGCGCCAGGCGGATGAAAAGTGCCGCAGGCCTTCTGGGTTTCAAAGGCCCAGAGAGCAGCTTGCCAGTGGAGAACACTCAACCTGAGTCTGCTATACTCTGCTTTGTACAATTTTAGTCAATTTTACAGCTTCATCAATCTTCATCAAACAATATCAAACAGCTTCAGCCGCCCTTCTCATCCTGATCTTGGGGCATGACCACTCTGCTGGAAATCCTGATACTAAACCTCTTGCAGAAGCCATATGCTCTGCCTGCGACATGGAAACAGTCCCACGATGTCCCACAGATTTCTCAAGCTAGGCCTCAGCCAGTAAAGCTTGTCCAACGCTTCCAAAACCTGCCTGGCCGAGCATTCCATCTGACTCATCTGACTCATCTGACTCCTTTTCAATCACCCTTCCACTCTGGCTCAGCGCACCTCGACGCAAGCTTTGGAGACAATCCCATATTGCAGGATGAAATCCGAGGAATTGCTGGACGGATTGCCTCAGGGAATTTCAAATTTCAATCCGTCCATCGGAGTCATCGTCCAGATTCGAGTCCGAGTTGCCGCTGCCAGGTGTCGTCGGTGTGTCCAAGGTCTTCATCAAGGAAGATAGGTGGCCCACGGCATCGGACCATCTTGTGGCACGAGCACAAGCAGAGATCACTGCCTCGCTCCGGAATCCAGCAGTTGATGTGTCATCAAAGCTTCAAAATCTTCAAATCATGAAGGATTAAGTTAAGTCACTGGTTGAGTTTCGTATTCTGGATTCATATTCATTCATATTCAACATATTTTGGATCTGAAAGATTCCGGAAGTTGGCCTCTGAAAACCCCAGACCTTGTAGGTGGGCACCGTTGGAGAAAGGCCATAGCCTTTGAGGTCGTGCAGAATCCTGCTGCAGCCAGCATTGAGCAAGATGCCCATGTCAATGGGGTGCCCAAAATTGCCATTGTTACTGGGAAATATCTGGAACATAATAATTGAATAAGCAACAACTAAAAAGTGAATATGAGGATATATGAGGATGATCGAAGTACCCTGTTTTCAAACAAATCAGAAAGCTTGCCATAGCTTGCCATAGCTTGCCATAGCTTGCCACAGCTCTTTTCGTTGCTCCTGTGCGCCTCTTCCCATCTGCTTGCTTGTCGACACACTCCCAGCAACGCATTGAAGGACAGAATGTCGAGTTTACCAGTTACGAACTGGGCATCCTGTTCCAACAGCTGCGCAAAGTCCAGTTGTCTGAAAATGGAGTGTACCACGAAAAGGGCGCTTGTGATTAAGGATGAAAAGGATGAAAAGATAGATGAAAATCCATGGGTTTAGGGTCATGGCTTGTCCATAATTTGAAGGACTCAAACCCACCTGGATTACTCGTCAAAAATTTTCTCCAAGCATGCAACCGAAGAAGTCATGGCCTCATGAAGCTGTAGTGCCAGCTGCCACTCAGCACCAAACGTACCTCAGTGCTGTGCTTTTAAAATGATAAATGAATTGAGATATTTTAAGATGATACAAAAAAAACTGGTAGTATCCCAGGTGTGTAACGCAGGGGACAAATAATCAGGATTCATCAGGTACAACACATCTGGGGCATCTTATGAGGTTTGCTTTGGACAATGCCAGGCCACATGCTGAAATCAAAGAGGTGTAGCTCAGCAGGTCTGGCCTGTCTGACCTGCGACAGCCAGAATGCGCGGTCATCATTGCACAACAGGTGTGCATCTCAGTTTCTTGCATAGCCTTTGCAAAAGGAGAGACTCTTATAGTTTACAATGTCTGTTAATTGACAATGAATATAATATAATATAATGAATGCACAAAAATTGCTGTCATCTGTCATCTATCGTCCATGTCATCCACCAGAGCAAGCAAGATGTGCTAGATAACATGCAGCGCCATCGATGCACATGATGCACCTGCTAAGCATATCGTTGTAGAGCTTCAAGGACACATGCAGATTGTTCGCCTGTCTCTGCACAAGGAAGCACAAGATGCAAGTGACGGCAAGTGACGGCAAGATTCGGCAAGATGCATCCCATATGTCTGACATTCCTGTACATTCATGGCCTTGCGGGATGCATTCAAGCACAGATTCATGACGATCAGATTAGGCTGCAGCCTCCAGAAATCTCCAGAAAATAAGATCTGGTTGGGACAAATCGTAGACAAAACAATCACCACAGCCATGCGATAAATTTCCAGAGCTTCAAGCAGTTGCTTCTGTAGCAAGCTCAGTAATTCAATCGATTCCTTGGTCTCAAAATGTCTCAAAAGCTCGCACAGGACGCTTCCCATGCTGTGCCATGCCGCATCTTGCGTTGATCCACCAGAATTGTACCAAGTCACCTCCCACTGGAATGCGTCGCCACATGCGCTGATGACGGCCCCATAGCTTGCTAGGCTCCGCTTGAGTCTCATCTGGTGCAAAACAAGCCACGAGGCTACAACGCCAGAGGGAGCACGGGACTTCGGTACTTGCGATGGATTGTCCTGAGCCCAGCCTGGCTCATGTCTTCCAACATCATCAATGCCTGAACAACGAGAACAAAGGACCAACTCACTGCCCCTTTTTTCCGCACAAATTCTGGGATGGCCTCCTGCCACTGCGAACCACGATCCAGTGCACAGAGTGCTGCATTGAAAGCCACCACATCACCGGCAATTTGCCGCGCGTGCATACTGGCAAAGACCTAGAAAAGAGGGATAAAATGGGATATACATGGATATACTGTACTGTATAAAGATGATAAAGCAAACTGTGTAGAGGATGTTGAAGATGTTAAAGATGTTGAAGCAAACATGCTGATTGGCACTGCACAAGATGCCCCAGATTTCCATCGTGCATTTTCCACGGCGATTACCTGAAGCGCTTGCTCCCAAGCCCTTGCTCGCTCGCAAGCAGAGACTGTTGCACCTTGAAGCTGAAACAAAGCTGACAGTGCCGATGTCTGTCGAAAGCAATGCATGGAGAGAAAAGGTATGGACAGGTACAGTATGGAACAGACATCAGCTTCTGCAAATATCTGCAAATGCTTCCGACTTCAATTCCCGACTTGGACTATTTTGGACTTTCTTTCCACAGGATGCTGTGTGGAAAAATATGGAAAAATATGGAAAACATGAGACAGGACAGAAGGCAACATGGCACGGTCTTAGCCGAGCCGCTGTAGCTGACGACGTTGGGTTGAAGCTGAAAGTGGCCAGCTCGCTGAAGCAAATCAAGAGCACCTTGCGGGCCAAAGCTGGCAGCGGAGGTGGGAAGTGCAAAGCTGAGCTGTCGGAGCACTGGCGCAACAGCAAACACAGGCCCCGGACTTTCCCATTTGCCTCCCTTGTCACATGCACTGAGCAAAGCATTGCAGGTCACCTGAGCGAATTCTGCATGCTGAACAACCCCGGTCATCAAGTTTACTGCAGATGGGGTACGGCATCGGGCGAAAGGGAATATCCTGAGCTAAGACTTCAAAGGGATTGAGCACTAGACTCTTCTGAACAGAAAATTGTGATATTATGATTATATATATTACAAGAATCATATAGTATGTATGATATGATTATATATATACATATATCAATATAACATAATATAACAATAGTAAAAAGAATCTCTTCATCGCAGTCGAGTGTCGTTCGATGTCACTGAACAGTGCAATAGCATGTTGCCACTGTTGGGCCTTCCTGGCATCTCGGCATGCTTAAATCCCGTAGGGTTGAAGTTGTTTACTTTCCAAAACAAAACCCTAAAACCCTGAAACCCTGAAACCCTAAAACCCTAAACCCTAAATCCTGAAAACCTAAAGATAGCCACTGTTTTCATTCATCCTCTGGTGACAATATATGAATTGTTTGGATGTGTTATTTGGGTGTGGGCAAACCAGGGGGGTGGAGGAAACATGTATAATATGTATATATATATATATATGTGTATAATATTGTATTGTATTGTATTATATTATATTATGTTCTATCATATTATACTATATTATAGTATATATCATATTATATTATAACAAGTACATTGGCAATGATCAACAATGATTTGAACTGATCTGGACCAAACTTCGCCAGCAGGACTCGGTTGCTGAGATGGTTGCGTTAAATGCCTGCACGGCGACGAAACCCATCTCCGAGTACATTGCCTGTCGAAGCAGGGGGAACAAACTCCTGGCACAAAGTGCCACCAAATCCCCTGCCTCTAAAAGACCCAGAGTTTCTGTCCATAACTGAACATGACCAAGCGAACTCATAGCCACCTGGACCACCAAAAACGTTGTAAAAAGAATGTAAAAAGTGCTTCTGGACGGGGTGATCAAACCGCTTCTGTGCGACAGCACCACCCAATCTCGAGGATCTCTCAGCAGCTCTCTTCGGCGACACCTGCAATCCAAGAAGCTAACGGCCGCCTTCCAAAAAGCCAGCTGCCATCCGGGTTTGAAGTATCCGAATATTATATTATAATATTGTATATATATATACACACACTGTATAACGTTGGTGTATAATTCTATACATTACATTATATGCTATATACATATTGCATATATGTATGTGTATGTGTATACATCTACATGCATATCTGTACATGTACATTATCTATATATATATATATGTATATGTATGTGTATACATATATGTGTATATACACGTGTATGTGTATTGATATCTATATTTAGATTTATGTATATATATATATAGAGAGAGAGAGAGATTTATGTGTATATGTATATGGATATTTATATGCATATGTATGTGTATATGCATACATCTATATATATATACATACACTTATATGTATCTATATATATGTACATGTATAATTATATATATATGTATATTTATATGTATATTTATATGTATATGTATATGTATATTTATGTATATTGTATATTTATGTATACATTAAACAAATATACACATATGTATATCCACAATCTGTATATGCATAGATGTATATACATAAAGGTATGTATATATGTACGTATGTGTATGTACATATCTATACGTATATTAATTTCTACATAAGCCGACTATTACTATATATATATAGTTTATATACACATACACATGACATGCGTATATTCCACATTACCATCCTTCAACTCTCCCCTAGCCAGAAACTGGCAGGCAGCGCTCAGACACCACAAAGAGAACCTGGGAAAAAAACTGGAAAGTAGCAACAAATAGATAAGTGGGCTGGGAGAAAATGCCACAAAAGATGGAGGAACATCGCAAAACTAGAAAATCTGCAGTGTCAGGATATGTCAGGATGCTTTTGCAGGTCTATTCATGCATCATTGAATGAGCCCCGGTCACAATGAGTCAGCTGAGCCTCTTGCCTCTTCGGGCTTTGCCTTACTCTTCCGTAGGTGATGAAGCCTATCAAAGCAGCTCTCATCACATCCGCAAGGGACAAAAGAAACAGGTAAAACTGTTGGGTTTGCCGAGTCCAAAATGTCCAAATCCAAATCTTGACTTTGGACTGTCACTGCGACTACATCTTCGACTACATCTTCGAAACATCTCATGGCGACCCATGGTGCAGGTCCTGGAAAAAAGATTCCGCCGCGCATGGACTGCCCATGGTGCAGTCCAGTTCTCATCGCTGAGTCCTTCCGAGATTTGATCATGGTCGCAAAGCACCAGAACCAAAACGCCCCGCTCCCCGCTGCCTGAGAAGTATCTTTCCAAAGTCCTCAGCTTCAAGTTGCTCACAATCGTACAACTATGCGCCAAGCATCAAAGTTGCCATAGCATGTCAATGTGAGGTTGACGGGGGGTTAGCCCGGCCACCAATGGTTTTCTGGCCTTCATGTCATCATATCACGACCTCCAAGACTTCAAGTCGATCTATTTTTGAAAATGTCAGTTGCGCCACACTGGCATGTCGTTTTTCAACAGACTAGTATGATCTAGTATGAATCAATCTAGTATGATTCTTTGAGGTACTGTCAGTCCCTTTCGTCTGGAGTTTTGACATGATATGTGTTCTGTCATTTGCAACCTTCTGTTTTTTAGGAAAATGAAAAGAATTACAACCCTTGAAGGGAAACGCGGGGTCGATTCTTTTACATTTCAGCGTTTGTCCGGAGTCAACCAGGATGTCCACAAAGCACTGCTGAGGACTGACTTTGTCTATGATCTTTGGGTGTACTGCACATTTTCCATTCGAGAATGGCATCCAAACCGAAATTGGCATGAATGCGCAACGCTGACAACACATTCACATGGACTGTGGAGAAACCTCAATGAGGTTGACTCATCACAAAAAAAAACAAAACATCTTGTGCCCAGACTGTCTTACACAGCGGTCAATCAGGGCGCATGTCACGCGTCTTTCAAACATATCAACATCAATGCTCTGGTTTCGACATGTTTCAACCATATCAACATCACTCTTGTACGACCTTACGTGACTTACGTGCTTCATGCTTCCGTACGTCAAAGAAGTTACTCCAAGAGCCCACCGAAGGTCCCGTGAGCGTTGCTGCGAAAGCATACAGAAGTTATCGTGTGTGTTCCTTCAAAAGCGTACCGAAGTTAATGCAAGCGACGCTGCAAAAATGTATCGTGATTTTTATTGCCACAACCCACCCACCCCACTCCACTCCCGGGCAAACCCCCCCCCCCGTCTACCCGAGTCTACCCTGCAAAGTGTTTCTCTCTGAGGAAGTTGCGTCTTGCTGCGTTTCGACAGGGCTCGGAAACGCGCAAACATAATCCATCTGCTACATGGTGTGGCATGCCTGCAGCAGGCTGTCTACTCTGGATGGATCCCTTGGATAGAAGTGTTCTATCTTGACCGGCTTGTGGCAGCAGTTGATTAAACGTTGAACTCAACCTACATGACCTACATGTCAAGGTTGCATCCTAATGCTCGTGTAAGCCAACCACAAAAAGATTGGCATGATATATAGATACTCCTTGCCAGCATGCCTCTAGTATTGAGAATTGAGCCAATGGCCTCAGTTCAAATTGTGCGACGGGATCTGTACTGAAGAGCGAACTGATCAGACCGGACAGGAAGTCCTGCAGCTCCATGACGGTTACATCATCATCTCAAGACTAGCGAATCCAAAGCAAACGAAATGCTAACGAATCCCTCATGAACAGCAACCATCAGCAACCTTCAGCAACCATGGTTCCAGTGCTCACATTCAGTCTTTCTCCAGTGCTCACGTCGCACTAGGCTCGCACTTGTTTCCTTCGCCCATGTTTCAAGTCTGTTTGGTCTGTCGTATCTGTTACCTGTTGATTCAAGTCCTGTCATCATGACCACCATTGTGTCAACCTGACCAGTCAAGTACTGCAATTCGAAGCATTCTATGAGTCTCATGGCTCTGCCCATAGATGCTTGACCTTTTAGTCACAGCATGTCACAGCAACCGAAGGGCCAGACGCCAAATGCACTCAATGCAAATACGTAATTACTATTTATGATAGTCTGGCTCAAATTGATCAGTGCGAATCAACACAAGAATCCTGACCCGATTGTCTTACACTGAAATGTTGGCCCCAAATGGGACTGTCTGAAAGTGGGGATACCTCCAAATGGCCATGGTCATGGGAAAATGACATGTTTTACTACAGTATATTTTTTTCGGGGGGTACCCTATTTTTAGATATTTGCAGAAAAATCCAAATGATTTAACACTGAACATGACCAGTTCTGTGGGTCAGTAGGCACCACAACTTTGAGCCGCAGACAAATACATTACAGTACGGGACATGTGAGGCATGTCCAGTCCATGGAGTCATATCGAGTCCACGGAGGCAAACATGGAGTTCTTCACTTGCTCAGAACTCGCCCTTGGCATCCTGCGAACCAACCCAAAGCCAAGTTTTGTTTGGACCGAAGACATTGAAGACAGCTTTGAACAACGCGACTTTACAGAAGGCATGCGTAAGGTGCATTCCAGTACTCGCATACAGTATACACTTGTGACATACTGTAGTTTTGTGACATGCAAACATTGACTGGGAACGCATAGTGTGGCATAGAAGTAAGCCCCTGGCAGCAGGCCAACGGGGCTGGCACCAAAAGTTCCAGCAGTTTGTGAACCTCCCGTTGTCAAAAGGGTTCCTGGCAAGCTCTGCTGCGTCAATGGTGAATCAGTGAGGAATGCTTCAAGTGGGAAAAAAACCGACGGATACTGCGGACTGTCATGCTGCCCTCAAGTCCTGGTGCGATCATACACAAAAGCATCGCGGTCAAAGATTTCGTTATATCTGGCAAGGCCAGTCTGTGGATTCAGGTGAAGTGAATCAAACATATCTCACCGTTTCGATCTCTTTGCATTTCATGATATGCAATTTTTCAAGTAGAAATTGGGAAGGTGCAAAAAACACGTGTTTTTTTTTCCGATGGGTCCGATGCGAACAAACTATATGTTTTAGTTCTAAAATATATGTATATATATATATCCGCCGACCCCTCCAAGGGGGAGGGCGCCAGAGAAGCAGGGATATTGCGAATTTGGGGGTGAAAATCTGAGATTGGCTGTTGATCATCTTGCCACATATGCTACAGCAAATCACGCCGCCAGCTTCGGATCCATCCCCCTTTTGTGGGGTCAGCACCTGATCGCTGCCTGGACAAAGACTTGCGGCCATCCATTTGTGTGCTCCTGTGGTGCCTGATTCATTAGAAGCCCCCAAATTAGTGAACGTGCATTGTGCATATCTACGATCTTTGGTGAACCTGACCAGGGGGCTCTCGCATGGTAGCGGAGCCTGGCAGGCACCAATAGATCTGAGCCATGGCGACCATGGGGAACAAGGAGGACTCAGTGGACTTCAAGTATCCCACATGGGATGGTGACTGGAACAAATGGACAGACTATCAGCTGCGTGTTGAGCTGAGAGCTGATGGACTGAAAGAGGATGACCAGAAACTTCTAGGACCTCGGCTTGCATCCAATCTGACTGGAAAGGCCTTTGACAGTCTCGCTGAGATTGACAGAGAGAAGTTACGCCAACCGGATGGGTGGCAGTACTTCCTCAGGTTTCTCGAGAAGACTCGAGGCCGTGAAAAGGTAGATCTTCTTGGAGATGCTTTCAACGAGTTCTTTGTGCGCAAAAAGAGTTTACCGCAAGGACGGTGAGGAGTTTTCAGAATATGAACCCAGATTTCGAAGTCTGACCAGAAGATTAGAGAAAGCCCTCAAAGAATCAGGATCAGAAGGTAAACTGCCAACAGAAGTCCTTGGCTGGTTCCTGTTGAACTGCTATATGAGGATGGATCCATCGGACATCGCCAATGTTCGTGGACGCTCAGAGTCATACAAGCTGGAACACGTGGTGGCCTCCCTTCAAAAGATGTGGAGTGGAGGCGGCCTAGCTGCCAAGGATCAAGAGATGCGTCGTCGCCGAAAAGATGGTGGACAAGCTTTGCTGGTTGATGAACCTTCTCGACCTGATGAAGGGGAGGTCTACCAGAATGTGGACGAAGATGTGATGGAAAGCCATGCCGCCACAAATGATGAAGAGCTTGAGGAATTGGCCACTTGGTACCAAGAAGCCTATGTTGCACTCGTAGATGAGCCTGATGATACCGAGATACTTGCCAATTTCAAGGATGCTCGTCGTGCCCTGGACCAAGCTAGAACGGCGAGGGGTTTTTACCCTGTGAGACACCCTGACAGTCAAAAAGGTCGTGGTAAGTCTCAGGGCAAGGGGAACTACAATCGAGACAATGAGTATGCCAACAAGACCTGCATTCGGTGTGGGAAGCGTGGCCACATTGCTCGTATTTGTCCACAACGAGCTCAAAGTGATGGCAAAGGCCAAAGTGGAAAAGGAAGTGGCAAGGTGGGTTTTGTCGGTGTCCAATGGCAAGAACCAACTGCAGAGAATGCATGTGATAAAGGTGACGAGTGTGCACAGGTCTGGGCCTCGACTGGCCATGAAAACCAACTTCGTGGCAAGGCTGTCCTGGATAGTGGTGCCTCAGATAACGTGATTGGAGTGAACACTTTGCAAGATCTCGCAGACATGTACGAGGAGCTTGGCCTCAATACTGAGGACGAGTTTGAGATCGACCGTAACATCCACAAGAGCTTTGTCTATGGCGGTGATCACAGCAGCAAGGCTCTGGCACTTGCACACCTGAACCTTGGTGTCTTGGGAAATGAGATGATGGTCGATGTGCATGTCGTGGAGGGCAGTACACTTCAGTACACCTTTGCTGCTCAGTGCAAAGTTCCTCTATGATTCCCGAGCCACCATTGACTTCCGAAAGGGGACAGCTGTCTTTGAGGGCATCAACCATGAAGCATATCAGCTGGAAAGGAGTCCAGGTAATCATCTTCTTCTACCAGTCACTGTCTTTGGTGGGCGCCGTGGACTGATGAGATCTACTGAGATGGGGCCTCCTGCGGTTCCTGTACTGAGTGCGCCTGAGTCAGATCCGGACCCAAAGGGGGATGAACCGAAGCTCTAGGGACAGCTCCACCAGGATTGTAATGGACATCCTGAACATGGGATGAGGGTCTTGAGTGGAGATAGGAACCTAGATTCACAATTCAGTGCAACCAATTTTGATGATGGTTTCTGTGTTTTTGTGGAGCCTCCTGATGATGTTGGGGACGCACAGTACCAATTCATGGGTGACTGTAAGCGGGAGTGCGCGCAAGAGCTCCAAGATACCATGTTGGCTGGAGTGGGTGACATTCTCAACCTCATAGGTGAAAGTTCGTTGGATTTGTTGGAAGTTTGTGCACCTTGGGATGCACCACTGACCCAAGCAGTGAAGGATGCAGGGGGACGGGCTATGGCTGTTGGGATTCATAATGGGTATGATCTCACCACCAATCAGGGTTTCAAAGATGTTGCCAAGTTGATTAGGGAATATAAACCCCGGTACCTTCATGTTAGCCCACCTTGTGATCCATGGACTGCTTTTTCAAATTGTAATCAACGAACTGGGGAACAAGTGTCTCGGCTTCATGAACGCCGTAGGATCAGTCGACGTTTGCTAAGGAACTGTCGTAGGCTTTTGGAAATTCAGGTACAAGAATTGAACGGCAGTGTAGGATTGACACCGGACACGGGACCACACCATGGGGGAGGTGAACACCCACTTCATGCACAGAGCTGGACGGTACCTGACATGAGAAAAATGGTTCGTTTGTGTGGTGAACGTTTTTCTGTTCATGGTTGTATGCATGGCATGTGTAGTAGGGATACACATGAACTTGTCAAGAAACCATGGGGTTGGTTTTCCACACATGCTGGAATCAGAAAAGCTCTGGAACGAAAGTGCATACATGGAACTGGAGCACACCGCGTCATCCAAGGTAGCATCACTTCATCCACAGCAGTTTATCCTCCCTTGTTGTGTCGTCGTTTTGCCAAAGCTTTGATGCAAGATGTTGTTGATTTGTTTCCTATTTTTCAAAGCTGTGAGGTGAAGGATTCAACCGAAAACAACAGTTTTGATTTTGATCCCACTCACGCCATTTTGGCTGAAGAGGTGGCAGGTGCTGAGGACAATATCAATGCTGCGCCCGTTCCTGATAGGGAGGAACAAGACCAACCTCAAGCACCTCGGGATGATAACAGAGAATCTGAGGAGGACACTGGGAATGATGCCGCATATAAACAAATGATTCGTGATGCTCACCGAAATTTGGGTCATCCTGGCAAAGAATCATTTATTAGGCTGTTGAAAGATGCTGGTTCCAAACCCCGAATCATTCAACTTGCTGAAGAATTTGATTGTCCTGATTGTCTCATGAGGGGTGGGAGAAGTACTGTCCGCCAGTCTGTTGTTCCCAAAATCTATGAAAAATGGCAGTGTGTCAGTGTTGATTCCTTTTGGTGGCATACTCCTCGTGAAGCCTTGAAACCCGGGGAAAAACCTCAGTATTGTATTGGGATTAGTATGATGGATGAAGCCACTGATTTCCACTGTGCCGCAATCATCAGATCTGGTTTTGAGAAACCTTTTCGAAATATTTCTGGAGCTGATTTCAAACAGGCTTTTGAGAAGACCTGGCTCCAGTGTTTTCCTGCACCCTCTTGCTTGCGCTACGATGAAGAAGGGTTTCTTAGAAAAGTGGAAGTTATTGAGTGGTTGGAAACGTTTGGCATGAAACTTGAACCTATTGCGGGAGAGTCGGCATGGCAAGCTGGGAAACATTCCAAACATCTTCAGACTTTGAAAGAACAAATGAATTTGTTGAGTATGGAACTTGGGAGTGATCGTGATTGTAATCAGTTGTTATCCCTAGCAGTCAGTGCCAAAAACTCCATGCATCAGGTGCGAGGATACAGTCCTAATCAATGGGCTTTCGGACAAAGCCACAGTAGGTTGTCTTCCTTTTCGCAGCAGTATCAAAATTTGCCACTGCAGTCACGTCATGAAGACCTGACCTTTGAGGAGAATCTTCAAACTGAGGTCACTGCCCAACGTTTGTTTTTGAAAGTGGATGCACAGCGAAGGCTCTCTCGAGCTCTCCATTCGAAATGCCGACCTTTGAAAGAGTTCCAATTGGGCGAACTCGTCTATTACTTTCGAAGAGGAGTGAAAGAGGGATCACGGTATGGGGGACATTGGCATGGACCAGCACGTGTTTTGACACATGAAAAGACTTCCTCTTATGAAACTGGACAACATTTGGGATCTATCGTTTGGATTTCACATGCTGGTAAAATCCTTAGATGTTCACCTGAGCAGCTTCGTCCTGTGCAGCATGATTTGAGACATCTGGACAAGGACATTAATGGACCACGAAACTTCTTTGATTTGTTGGAAGGCATCAAAAATCAACAAAGGTATCTAGATCTGACTTCTGATGTCGAAGCCATGACACGTCTTGACACGCAAGAACCTGATGTTCCACATTTTAGGGCTCGAGGCAAAAAGCCACTCAGTGAACTCCGCTATCCTGACGAAGCTTTCGGTGACACAACCCGAGAGCGCAATGTCGATGCAAAGCGCCGACCTGAAGACTCTGTTGGACCTTCAGGACAAGAAGGGACAAGTGAGTCGAGAGGAGATTCAGAGCATGTCGCTCGAAGACCTCGGCTCGATGAAGATGGACCAAGGGGAGCGCCACAAGGGGCATCTCTTCCAGGAGATCTACAAGGACAAGAGCTACAACCGTTGGGTGGCAAGCCACATCAAGGACGACGACCCAGTCTTCCGAACTATCCACAAGTACAAGATCTACCTGCATCGTCGTCTAGCTCAGGAGCTCGAGGAGGAGAATGTCCTGGGACATCCAGGAAGCGGAAGCCATCAACTTCCCCTGAAACCTTCGAACGTGAAGAAGGTGCACACCAAGGAGGGGTCCCGCCAAGCAGCAGAACTGGAAGCCATGGGTCAGTTGACTCCAATGCCCATTCCGGACGACGAGAGCCTGTCTCATTGGAGCCAGGTGGAGAACATGGAGAACGACATTCAGAACCTCCACAATGGCAACGAGCAGCTGCACCAACGCATGGCGCAGATGGAAGCATGCATGGCCCAGATTCTCACGGTCTTGCAGTCGGGACCACATGGAGCGTTGAGCCAGGAGAACACGAACTGAGTGAGGGATGCCAGAATTCAAGTGAGTCCGTAGGTGTGAGAACAACTTTTTGCTGTCAGGACACTGCGAAGACAGTGTCTGGAGAACATGTGTCTAGTGACTTGTTAAAAAATTTCACTGCTTATGTTCAAGAACTTGATGTTATTCAAATGGAGTTAGTACTTGCACCTCGTGACGTCCACCGACGAAAGAGTGCCTGGGTGATCAATGCGAAGGCTAAGAAGGGAGCTGAAGTTGTTTTGAGAAAACTCCTTCCTCATGAACAACAGCAGTTTGATGAAGCCATGAAAAAGGAAATTGACTCCTTTCTTTCCAGTGATGCTGTTCAAATCTGTTCTGCGGCTGGCATTCCAGAGGAACGCATTATGCAAATGCGTTGGATATATACTTGGAAAGTGGTCACTGATAGCGCTGGTAATGAAACTGGGAAACGTGCAAAAGCTCGGTTGATCATCAAGGGTTTTCAGGATCCTAGACTCCTCCATTTGCCAGGAGAATCTCCCACACTTTCTACTCTGGGTCGAAACATGTTGTTGACATGCGCTGCCAGGAAACACTTTCCCGTAGCCTCAGGAGATATCAAAACAGCTTTCCTGCAAGGTGGTAAAACCGAACCTCAGGACGAACTATATGGAATGCCACCCCCAGAAGTGCGAACTGCCCTGTCCATGAAAGACAATGAAATCCTGCGTATTGCAAAAGCTATTTATGGACTCTTGAATGCACCAAAGCGTTGGTTTGAGTCTCTCAGTACTTGCTTGATTGATGATGGTTGGATTCCCCATAGTCTTGATAAGTGTTTATATAAACGAATTGATGAAAACAACAAAGTGTGTGGGTATCTTGGGTTTCATGTTGATGATGTTTTGTGTGCTGGACGGGGGGTTGAGTATGAGCGTAGTCTGGAACGACTTCGACAAAAATTCACTTTTGGGTCTTGGGCTGAAGCCCAAAAGGAAAGCCTCATGTACTGTGGCTGTGAAATCACTCAGGATTCCAATTTTGCTATTCATGTCAACCAAGAACGGTTTGCTCTGAGTATTGATGAAATCAATGTGTCACAAGAGCGTAGAAACGAAACGTATGAACCAGTGACTCATTCAGAGCGACGTTTGATGCGACAAGCTTTGGGAGCTTTGAACTGGAGAGCAACTCAAAGTGCACCTTGGATGTTGGCCACGGTATCTCATTTGCAAGGATGTGTTGAACAAGCTTGTGTTGGAGATCTTTGTTCTGTCAATAAATTGGTTCGGTTGCAAAGAAAACATTTTAATCGTGGTTTGGATTTTGTTTCTGTTACTGGTGATGCTACGGTGGTCACTTTCACGGATGCTAGTTGGGCTACCCCTAAAGATGGTTCCAGTCAAGGTGGTCAGATTACCCTCCTTATGCAAAAAGGTGTTCTTTGGGGAGAAAAGACTCCCTTTTGTGTTTTGAATTGGACTAGCCGTAGACTTCGTAGGGTAGCTCGATCTTCCACGAGTGCTGAAGCCCAAATGAGTGCCAATGCCCTGGACAACCATAAATTTGTCAAACTGGCTTTTGTGGATGTTGAGTGTACTCAGAAAATTGATTTGAGACATACTGATGAATATTTGTCCTCTTTTGAGTCCACCATGGTCTGCGATGCTAGGAATATTTTCGATGGAATTGCCAAGGTTGAAACTTCAGGACTTCAGATGGAGGAAAAGAGAACCGCCATTGAGCTTCTTGCCATAAAAGAACGGCTGCAGCAAGCTAGGGTCACACTTAAGTGGGTTGATGGTGAACAGGAAATGGCCGATGGGCTCACTAAGCCTTGGAAACATGAGCCACTTTTGAGAGCACTTCAACAGGGTGTTTGGAGAATTGTGTATGATCCCACTTTTCAGTCGGCCCGCCGAAAAAGGGCTATGCGCCTCCAGCAGAACCAAAGTGATGTCTATTGGTTGCACACGGTACTTTCCCTGGCTGATGATCAAAAGAAAATTTTGAAGCCATGAAAATCTGAGATTGGCTGTTGATCATCTTGCCACATATGCTACAGCAAATCACGCCGCCAGCTTCGGATCCATCCCCCTTTTGTGGGGTCAGCACCTGGTCGCTGCCTGGACAAAGACTTGCGGCCATCCATCAGTGTGCTCCTGTGGTGCCTGATTCATTAGAAGCCCCCAAATTAGTGAACGTGCATTGTGCATATCTACGATCTTTGGTGAACCTGACCAGGGGGCTCTCGCAGGGGGGAATTCCCTGTTTCGCAGGTTTTGCAGCCTTTGGGGGCTCACAGTCTCACTTTCTTCACTATCTTAATGCATTCCTTAGGTGACGTTTGGCATCCTGGCTCTGGGGTTCCCTGTTTCGCAGGTCTTGCAGCCTTTGGGGGCCCACAGTCTCACTTTCTTCCCTATCTTAATGGATCCCTTAGGTTACGTTTGGCATCCTGGCTCTGTGGTTCCCTGTTTCGCAGGGTTTGCAGCCTTTGGGGGCCCACAGTATCACTTTCTTCCCTATTCTTCTCTATCTTAATGCATTCCTTAGGTGACGTTTGGCATCCTGGCTCTGGGGTTCCCTGTTTCGCAGGTTTTGCAGCCTTTGGGAGCCCACAGTCTCACTTTCTTCACTATCTTAATGCATTCCTTAGGTGACGTTTGGGCATCCTGGCTCTGGGGTTCCCTGTTTCGCAGGGTTTGCAGGTTTTGCAGCCTTTGGGGGCTCACAGTCTCACTTTCTTCCCTATCTTAATGCATTCCTCAGGTGACGTTTGGCATCCTGGCTCTGGGGTTCCCTGTTTCGCAGGTTTTGCAGCCTTTGGGGGCCCACAGTCTCACTTTCTTCACTATCTTAATGCATTCCTTAGGTGACGTTTGGCATCCTGCCTCTGGGGTTCCCTGTTTCGCAGGGTTTGCAGGTTTTGCAGCCTTTGGGGGCTCACAGTCTCACTTTCTTCCCTATCTTAATGCATTCCTTAGGTGACGTTTGGCATCCTGGCTCTGGGGCTCCCTGTTTCGCAGGTTTTGCAGATTTTGCAGCCTTTGGGGGCTCACAGTCTCACTTTCTTCCCTATCTTAATGCATTCCTTAGGTGACGTTTGGCATCCTGGCTCTGGGGTTCCCTGTTTCGCAGGTTTTGCCGCCTTTGGGGGCTGACAGTCTAACTTTCTTCCCTATCTTAATGCATTCCTTAGGTGACGTTTGGCATCCATGCTCTGGGGTTCCCTGTTTCGCAGGTTTTGCAGCCTTTGGGGGCTCACAGTCGCACTTTCTTCACTATCTTAATGATTAATGCATTCCTTAGGTGACGTTTGGCATCCTGGCTCTGGGGTTCCCTGTTTCGCAGGTTTTGCAGCCTTTGGGGGCCAACAGTCTCACTTTCTTCCCTATCTTAATGCATTCCTTAGGGTGACGTTTGGCATCCTGGCTCTGGGGTTTCCTGTTTCGCAGGTTTTGCAGCCTTTGGGGGCTCACCGTCTCACTTTCTTCCCTATCTTAATGCATTCCTGAGGTGACGTTTGGCATCCTGGCTCTGGGGTTCCCTGTTTCGCAGGTTGGTTCCCTGTTTCGCAAGTTTTGCAGGTTTTGCAGCCTTTGGGGGCTCACAGTCTCACTTTCTTCCCTATCTTAATGCATTCCTTAGGTGACGTTTGGCATCCTGCCTCTGGGGTTCCCTGTTTTGCAGGTTTTGCAGCCTTTGGGGGCTCACAGTCTCACTTTCTTCCTTATCTTAATGCATTCCTTAGGTGACGTTTGGCATCCTGGCTCTGGGGTTCCCTGTTTTGCAGGTTTTGCAGCCTTTGGGGGCTCACAGTCTCACTTTCTTCACTATCTTAATGCATTCCTTAGGTGACGTTTGGCATCCTGGCTCTGGGGTTCCCTGTTTCGCTGGGTTTGCAGCCTTTGGGGGCCCACAGTCTCACTTCCCTATTCTTCCCTATCTTAATGCATTCCTTAGGTGACGTTTGGCATCCTGGCTCTGGGGTTCCTGTTTCGCAGGTTTTGCAGCCTTTGGGGGCTCACCGTCTCACTTTCTTCCTATCTTAATGCATTCCTTAGGTGACGTTTGGCATCCTGGCTCTGGGGTTCTTGTTTCGCAGGTTGGCTCCCTGTTTCGCAGGTTTTGCAAGTTTTTCAGCCTTTGGGAGCCCACAGTCTCACTTTCTTCACTATCTTAATGCATTCCTTAGGTGACGTTTGGCATCCTGGCTCTGGGGTTCCCTGTTTCGCAGGTTTTGCAGCCTTTGGGGGCTCACAGTCTCACCTTCTTCACTATCTTAATGCATTCCTTAGGTGACGTTTGGCATCCTGGCTCTGGGGCTCCCTGTTTCGCAGGTTTTGCAGCCCACAGTCTCAGTTTCTTCGCTATCTTAATTGATTCCTTAGGTGACGTTTGGCATCCTGGCTCTGTGGTTCCCTGTTTCGCAGGGTTTGCAGCCTTTGGGGGCTCACAGTCTCACTTTCTTCCCTATTCTTCCCTATCTTAATGCATTCCTTAGGTGACGTTTGGCATCCTGGCTCTGGCGTTCCCTGTTTCGCAGGTTTTGCAGCCTTTGGGAGCCCACAGTCTCACTTTCTTCACTGTCTTAATGCATTCCTTAGGTGACGTTTGGCATCCTGGCTCTGGGGTTTTCTGTTTCGCAGGGTTTGCAGGTTTTGCAGCCTTTGGGGGCTCACAGTCTCACTTTCTTCCCTATCTTAATGCATTCCTTAGGTGACGTTTGGCATCCTGGCTCTGCGGCTCCCTGTTTCGCAGGTTTTGCAGCCTTTGGGAGCCCACAGTCTCACTTTCTTCACTATCTTAATGCATTCCTTAGGTGACGTTTGGCATCGATCCTGGCTCTGGGGTTCCCTGTTTTGCAGGTTTTGCAGCCTTTGGGGGCTCACAGTCTCACTTTCTTCCTTATCTTAATGCATTCCTTAGGTGACGTTTGGCATCCTGCCTCTGGGGTTCCCTGTTTCGCGGGGTTTGCAGGTTTTGCAGCCTTTGGGGGCTCACAGTCTCACTTTCTTCCCTATCTCAATGCATTC